ACTAAAATCCTTAAATGGCAAATAAAATCTTTTAAATAAAGTAAAAGAATTTGGGATTCTCTTATGAAAGCATTTTTTGGTAAGAAATAAAATTTTCAGATCGGACTTTATGCAGGTGACAAAATCGTGCATTATTATTCCTGGAGATATGCTAACGTCATCATTTTACATTCATTTGAAAGCTGAGAATTTGCTCTATCGTAAGAATCAAAGATCAGGAAAATTGGATCACTGGATGAGGCGTAATTAACGATCAAAGTCAAATCAAATTTAAAAATTAAAAATAAATATATTAGACGTAATTATTCACAATCCAGTGATTCAATTCATTCGATTTTAGGCTTATTAGATAGACCTCAATTTTCTCTTTCAAATGAATATAATTTCATTCGTGTAGCTTGCATCTACAGGTATTTAATAAATTTTTTTATATCAGATTTTATCAAACTTACAAAATTTTATATTAATAATATAATTGATGATTCCTAAACATCTACATATATTAAACGAATTATTTTAAATTTATTTTAAAGATAAAAGTTGGCATCTCACAGATTTCTCTCTTAATATCAAAACTAATAGCAGTACGAGTTCTTTTTAGTTAGATTGGTGGCATTTTTATATAAGTAAAATAAACAAAACTGCGTAAAATGCAAGAACTGCGCAAAATGCACAAACTGCGCGTTATAGACGCGTTTTATTTATGGATCATCATAGTTGCACAATATCATTTAACATGTGATTATAGTGATTATATAGGGGGGAAATTTTTACTGTGATTATATAAGGGGCGAATTTCTTATATCTACTATAATATCGGGCCTTATAACTGGTGTGATTATATTTTATAATATATCTGTGATTATAAAGAGGGTATTTTCTATTTAAAAAGGTTGGGACTAAATGATAGTATGACTAAAGTGGAGGAGTGATTATATAGAGGGTGACTATAGAAGGGAACGACTGTATATTATTTATAAAAAAATTATAATAATACTAATTTTTGAATTTTTCTTTACTATTTATTAATTTAATTTAGTATTCTATATAAATTGATTTATGATACAATATGATTCTAATTAACCTGAAAAATAAAACCATTTTTGAAAAAATTTGATTAATTATATAAAATGAGTTTACTATTTTTTATTAGTAGTAATCATTACCAATGCTATATGATTTTTTAATTTTGGTTAAAATTAAATAATTTTTGAAAACTTAAGTTAATGCATTTTTTCATTTTTGATAAAAATAAAATTGCCTTTTTGAATTGTATAATAGGACCCCGGATATCTCCAAAACAGGTCATAAGTCACACTTTCGGCAGATTGGCCCATTTTTCAGGGGCTTAAAAAATCGTTTTTTGTAAATATCTCAGCATCCAGTGGTCCAATTTTGATGAACTTTTTTTTAAATTGTAGAGCTAAATGAGGGCTACAAAATAAAAAAAAGTTCATTAAAATTGAATTACTGGATGCTGAGATATTTACAAAAAACGATTTTTTGAGTTTCAGCAAAAAGGGGTGTTTTTGGCCAAAAGTCCATTATGACCTTTATATTAGATATCCGGGGTCCTTGTATAATATTATTTAGAATTTTACATTCTAAAATATATAAAAACATTATTTACTTATAAGATAAATTATAGGAAATCTAAAATAAAATTTATAATTAAAAATTTTTTAAAAATTATAATTGTTATACAAATATGTATTATATCCCTATTTTATTCTTATTATATAATTTGTGGCATTATTTTATATTGTAATATTATTTACAATTGATTTTTCCATTTAATCTTCTTAACTGTCACAGGTCGAAAAGTGAAAAATCAGGCATCAATCAGACACCAATCGGTTACCAATCAGTCACCAATCAGCTACCTGATTGGTAACCGATTGGTGCCTGATTTTTCACTTTTCGACCTGTGTGTCTGTTTGCAACTTTTTATTTTTCATCAACAAGAGTTATAAAATAGAATGTATATAATATATTTAATAAGTTTATCTATTTTATTAATGTTATTGCTACTAATTTTTTCCATATTAAACATCTGAATTTTCTTTACTTTTTAACTTACATTAATAAGAAAAGATTTAGTTTAAAAAAGTATTAAATGCATTTAATATAAGTAGTAACTCTGTCAATATTGATCACAGAGAGATAAGCTTACCACCATTCGATTCATCTTGATGAGGTGATTCCAACGAGCTATTAATTGTCTTTTTATAATCATTAGGTACTGAGCAATTTAATAAAATGTTAAATAGCGCAGTAAATGTAAATGAAAAAATATTATAATGCTGATGTTTAACATTTTGTTGAATAACTTATCAGCCAGTGATTGTAAAAGAATAAAACTGCCACCATTTGATTCATCTTAATGAGACGATTCTAACAAGCTATGGTCCATCTTTGTGACTTTGTACGATTATTAGATGCCAAGTTATTTAATATATTTTTTATATAATTGTGATTATAAACAGTTCTTTTTAATATAAGATTTTTGAGGATAAGTGTAATAGTGACTATAGATAGATTGTGACTATATAGGATAGATTTAATAATAAAGTGTTTTGAACATTCAACTGGTGTGACTATATAGTAGAATGTGACTATACTAAAAGTAACTATAAAGGAAGTTGACTGTAATTATAAATGATGTGAATGAAAATATATTACCTGAATTTAAAATAGTATTATTAAGGGATCAAACCAGATTAAACTGGACTAATATAGGTCGATCTGGTCTAATTTACAAGTTTTTAAATTGTAGTTTTTTTCAACTTTAAAAGTTTCAAGTTTTTGTCCAATTTGACTTGAAAAAATTAAATTGCAGTCCAGTCTGACTTTAAGATTTTATAAAATAAAATTAGAGATATAATTAGATGATTGATGAATTTTAGCTGCAAAGTATCAGCAAAGATTTGTTAATTTGACACAAGAATTTGCACATTTCAGCAAAGATTTTAAGGAAAAAATTTAATAGAATTTATTTTCAATTTTATATTGAACATATACTGCAGCTTCTGATTGGTGTAAAATAGTTAATATCTAGTCACTCAAGTGGTACCTACCAGCCATTAAAAAGGAAAACGTCTTGAAAATTGGTATATCAAAAAAAATCTATATCTAGGAAAGGAATGAAAATATTGTAGAAGATCATCTAATTCTTTATATAAGCCTATAAGCTATAATTTTACATATTATCAAGGTTATTATTATACTTGAAAATCAAAAATTTTTAAAGAGTATTTTCACTTGACTTCGCAAATCTGGTTTGAATCTTTTGTTTTAAAAGATCGATCGTGTGAATCCTTTTTATTAGGTCGATAACATCAGTAATATCTATAAATTACATAATAAAATAGTTATCTTTATACATAGTTCACGTCGCAGTTTTACAGATAGTTCATTTATTCTTCCCTCGCATTTAAAATTCGATGATCTTTTTGTGATTAAATGCTCCAAAATATATAAAACATCATTTAAACTATCTAAAGCTTGTGTTGAAGTGAATAACGGCAAAGATATGGAAACTGAGTGACGTATTAATTAAAAAAAAAAGTTAAAGATAAAAATGAATATCTGGCAAATATCAATACAGTTTGTGTAAAAGGATATCTTCATGCAATTCTTTTAATAATTTTAATAGCATTTTAATCAAAGATCTGTCATTCTGCCCACATACCGCCATTATTTGTTTAGTGACACGTGAAAATTGATTTACGTTTACTAAGCATTTGTAAGATCGAAATATTTTTATCCAACTCGAACCATCTAAAGATCTATAATCTTTAGAAAAGTTATCTTCAGAATCCCTCTTTGAAATACAAAGATATTGTTCTAACAAAAATGGTAGCAAAGATACGCTCCATTCTTGATCCATAGAATTTGTAGTTGTAAAAATCAAATATGCCATAGAAGGAAGCAAATGATCAATATCTAATATAATAGTAAAATAAATGTAAAATTAGATAAAATATTCGAGTCACCTAAACATAAAATCGAACCACACCTTGATTCATAATTCTAGCTTTCTTGATATTCTTAATACATAGCGTTTCCCAAATCATTTCGTCATAAAATTTATAGAGATTAGAAGCATGAATTTCATCGATTTGACAGTACAATATGAATGCGCTGAATTCTAAATAATCCGAAACGAGGTCAAGTGGCAAACACGTCATAGAGAAAATTGTCTTAGTTTCCCCTACATGCAACAAGTTGATATAGGAGGAATTTGATTTTATCATTGATGAAAAAAGACCGAAAGTATTCTTAAAATATACAACTAAATGAACAGCATATAAATCTTGGCTAATTAAAATTAACAAGGGAATCAATAAAAATTTTCTAACAAAAATATATGAATATATGCATATACTATATAACAAAAATACTCACAAACTCTTATTTCGCACCGAAATTTCTATTAAAATATTTTCGGTATGATTGTATTTTCCAATACTTGTCTTGGCTTCGATAACCTCGATACAAGATTGTTTATCCTTATCCGTTTGGTTAGAATAAATCTTTTCGCTCAAATTCTTTGTAAGAATTCGTGCACCAGGTATAAGCGATATAAATCCTTCAGTATGCTTATTATGACGTAATACTGTTTTAGTAAGCTTTACTCGCTTCGAATAATATGAACCAATTAAACAGGAAAATGTCTGAAGAAGGGAATCACTGTGGTTTAAAAGGTTATATTTATGATTAATCTGTAAATTTGAATAAATATAAGTAAAAATATAACATAGATAATAAAAAATATAAATTTCATCTACCATTTCTTCATTTTTTCGTATCAGTGCTGTTCCATCATAAATTCTAGTTGATAAAGAATCGAGAAGAGAGCTCAAATGAGGAATATTGCCTTCTAAGAACAAATAACAAAAATATTAGAAATTTCACTATTCATTAAGCTATAAATATAATTTGAGTATAAAGTAGAACCTAGATTTGAAACGACGTTTTTTTCATTAATATTATTGATGAGAATCTCATTGAATGTAGTTAATCTGCCATTTAATCTGTAAGGTACTTGCATGATACGTTGATATCCACATTGATAGAAATCACCAAAAAGTAAAGTAATTTCATTTGGGAGTTCTATAATTTTTGAATTTGATTAAATTTAGTATAACAAAAGTTATTTCGATCAAAAACCGTTACCTCGCAATATTTTGCCATTTTGGGAATTCAAAATAATCAAACCGTTTTCCAAACGAATAATCAACACAGATTCTATATCTTCAATTCTTTTGTCTAGCTGAACTTCTTCCCTAAAAAATTAATCTGTGTCATAAAAAACCACCACGGATTTTGATAGAAAGACTTACATAAAATCTTACATCTTCAAAGGAATATATGCAACGTCAGTGCACCATATTGGTTTTACATTTCCAATTTCATCAGCATTTTTAATGCATATAATATTTCCTCGAGCAGTTCCTATCCATATAATTTCCTCATTGTTCCATAAGTTATTAGTTTTTAGCAAACAGGTGATATTCCTTGTATAATATTCAGGTATCATAGAAATAAAAAAAGGTATTGGAGAAGAATAATTTTCAAAGAAATTGCGCATTGTAACGCATGATTCATATATAGGTCGATATATTATGTTAACGAATATATAAGGTCCATCGACGTCATTAACAGCTTGTTGATGAGGCAGCCAAAATCCCTGAATATTATATGCCAATAAAGTTAATGTGCATAGCACATTTTTCTGCGACAATGGTCTCCATAATACAATATAAGTGTTTTTTTCTTCAAAAGTTTCTTCTGATACCGAAGCATTCTGATAAATAAACGCAATCATAGGTCCATCCATAATAACAACACCTATTCGGGCGTTAAAGATAATCTTTAATCAAAGGAAAATTGAACAAAGATGATGAATATCAAAACTTACCACAAAATGAAGCATCAAGAACTATATCTTTTAAATTGATATTCCATGTTTTCTCATAGTCTCCTAATTGCCATAAATTAAACTCAGATTTCGTTGAATCACATAAAAGTAAGTATGGAGCGAGGCTTTTATTAAAGAGACATAAAATTAAATCAAAGAATTTTGAATCATACAATCAAGAATCATGTATATTTACATTGCTAATTCAATATTGCTCGTCACATTAAAAGAAACTAATTGAGGATATCGAAATTCTAAATATAAATTTTTTTTCGTAAATAGGTAGTATATTTAAATCTTCGAAGCTTCTCTTATTTAACTTTAGATAAAACGAAATAAGAGTAATGACTAAAAAGTCATACTTTCAGGAAGTTGAATTTGCGAAACTCCTAACTTATTCACACTTCCAATCTTTTCAGTGGAATAATACTCTGCAATAACTGAAGTTGTTTCTTCTTCTACATATGCATAAATTAAAGTCTTTTGAAAGTAAACACATTGCTCTTTATCCAGATAAGAATTGAAATACTTGCTAAATGGAAAGTAGCTCATTATTAACGCTAAATTATCAAAGATTAGTTATGGCGTAATGCAGATTATTTACAGTGTATGTGGCAGATCGTATATGACACTAGCACTTTATGTAATTTTAATGGCGGCCAAAATTAATAAATAAGTTCCATTAAATAGCAAACTCAATATTAAAGCCTCTCATCGGTTTAAATTTTTTTTATATATTATATACTTATATGTGAAGATTTAACTTTTATTTTTTAGTTATGTCTGATCTACCAAATGGGTAAGCAATTTCCTAGGAAATTCTGTTTGTATCGTTAAGCACGTAAAATTTTAAAGTGATTAATGAATAGATTTAATATTTGGGTTAAAGTATTATTTTTACAAGTTCACCCTGTTAAAATACTAAATTTTTTTTTAATTAGTCCGAAACACCTTGGTGTTACTCCACCAATTGCTTTAAACTATCCAACTCAGAGAGAAATTGAGGTTACAGATTTATTAGTACAAGAGCTTACCGCACAAGGAACTTTTGAAAGTGAAGATGAAAGTCGTCGTCGGTAAGCTTTAGTTCAATATTATTCTTGACTTAACTAACAATAATAAACATATTTACATCCTTTTTAGAGAAGTTGTACTTGGAAAGCTTGACAAATTAGTTAAAGAATTTGTTTATCGAACAAGTAAAAAGAGACAGTTGCCTGACGCTGATGCAAGGGAAGCTGGCGGGAAAATATTTACTTTTGGTTCTTACAGATTGGGTGTTCACGGTGCAGGTATGTATATTATTAATTTTTTTTTTGTGGAAATTTTTACTTAATAAAATATTTTATAGGTGCGGATATTGATACGTTATGTGTAGTTCCAAGACATGTTGCTCGGGAAGACTTTTTTAGTGACATGCATGATTCACTTAATTCTCTGAATGAAGTTACGGAATTAACTGTAAGTATGCGTCTCATTTGACCAATTATTAATTATATTTATTGATCCACATCGCTTTTTAGAGTGTTACTGATGCATATGTACCAGTAATCAAGATGAAATTTCAAGATATTCCTGTGAGTAACTTTAAATGGTTCATTAAATGATTTAACTTTAATCGCCACTAAAATACATTTATTTCGTAATACACAGATAGATCTTGTTTTTGCAAAATTGAATGTTCCTAAAGTTCCTGATGATCTTGAGCTTAGAGAGAATTTGCTTTTAAAAAATTTGGATGAGACATGCATAAGAAGTCTTAACGGTGAATATTTTTTGTTGTATTAATGATATAATAGATCTCAAGTTAAATTATATTATTTGCAATAGGGTCGCGTGTGACGGATGAAATACTACGTCTGGTGCCCAGTATACCCGCTTTTAGAACGTCACTGCGGTGCATCAAACTGTGGGCACATAGTAAGGCGGCGCATTTCTATTTATTATTCTAATAAATGAATGTGTGTTCGTTATAAATTAAATTATATTTTATAGGACGTGCGATTTATTCAAACGTAATGGGCTTTTTTGGTGGGGTTGCTTGGGCAATGCTAGTAGCAAGAATTTGTCAATTATATCCGAATGCGATTGCAGGTGCAATCGTTTCCCGATTTTTCAGAATTATGTATCAATGGTGTGGATTATTTTATTTTATTTGAATTATTGTAATTATTCCGAACTCATATGATTATTATCAGGAATTGGCCACAACCGGTATTACTAAAACCGATCGAGGATGGTCCTCTTCAAGTTAGAGTTTGGAATCCGAAGGTATGTAAATAATTGCATGTGGTTATCATAATGTAACTAAACAATTAATTTACTGTTTATTTTCATAGATATATCACGGAGATAGATATCATCTCATGCCTATTATCACTCCTGCATATCCTTCGATGTGCGCAACACATAATGTGACTCAATCTACCAAAAAAATAATCGAAGAAGAATTCAAACGAGGTTTTGAATATTTGCAATCATACTTACTTTTGTCATTTATTATTTATTATGGATATATTTTTATAGACTCACTTTTATAATACTTATAGCGGCTGAAATAGCAGATAAAGTTATGATTGGAACTGGCAAATGGTCAGATCTCTTTTCTAAACATGATTTTTTTTCCAGATATCGACATTATCTTCAAATTATAACATCATCCGATTCCGCGACGAGACAATTGAAATGGTTTGCGTTATGATCAATTTCATTATACTTTGCTTTTTTTACTTCTAATGACTTCATTAACATTACAATTTATTAGGTCTGGAATGGTCGAATCGAGGATTCGTCATTTGATATCAAAACTGGAAGGCGTGGATAACTTATATTTAGCGCATCCATTTGTAAAGGGGTTTGATAAAGTTCATCATTGTGCAACAGAACAAGAAGCGAATGATGTTTCACATGGAATTTATAATTTAAAACCTATCAGTGAGAAAAGCGGTACGGATTCTTCGAAAAGTGGGAATGAAAATGGTAGCAACACAATTTATACCACAACTTTTTATATCGGATTGCTTGTTGAACCACGTGCAGGTTAATACAGTTTAAGATTTGTTTCCCGGGAATTAATTATTTATATAGTCAGATTTTAACAATTATCCAAAACATTTAAATTTAACCGATAATTAGTTGGATCAACTACAGCACATCGACAGCTAAATCTTTCATGGCCTATATCAGAATTTACTAAATTGGTTAAAAGTTGGGATAAATTTGACGAAAGATACATGAATATAACAGTGAAGAATGTAAAATGGTATGTGATACTATTATTAAGTCTCTTCAAATAATTTACAGATTATACAATTGGAATTTTTTAATTTCTAGTACTCAGCTACCTCAGGAAGTGTTCGAAGAAGGCGAACAAAGACCTACGAAGCTCAAGCGTACAAAACCCGGTGGGAAGGTGATAATAGAAAATTCATTTTTGTGATTTATTATTTCTTTACAGCTGAATTTATGATCGCTTGTTGATTATTACGGCTATTAATAGGCCAAATCAAACACGACAACAACAGAACAACCCATAAAGAAGCGAAAAACGGATAAAGTTACAGATAAAGTGGACACAGCGACAGATCAGCCTAATAAGAAGCGAAAAACGGACAAAGTTATAGATAAAGATGACATGACGACGACAGAACAGAAGCGAAAATCGGATAAAGTGGAAATTAATGGTTCCAATTTGGAGTCAAATTAAGTGCTGAATCTACCTATCAAGTCGACTATTGGAAAGTACTCCTTGGTACATTGCTTGGTAATAATAACGGTGAGGTTGTGGGGTGTCCTGTGAATACATTCAGAAAATCACAAATTTATATGTGGTGAACTATGTCCATTTGTTTTATACCCAAAAAAAAAAGAATATTTAAAAACAAAAAAAAAAAGGGAAACCATCAACGGGAAAAGAGAGATAAATTATGCAAAAATAATTAATCTTCAAATTCATAGACGCATTTTTAATTGCAAGACTAGATCTTCTCTTTAACTGCGTCGAATACGTTTGAAAATTTACGGCCAATGGTGAAATCCATTAGAGGTTAAAGGTAAGACATAGGTTATTTTAGAAGGGACGGTTTAAGTTTTTGTTCCATATTGCTACAGAACATTACCAGAATCATAAGTGGATATATGGAGAGTATATTTTTTATTTTATTTTATTTTATTTTCGTTATCCTGGATCTTATGTTTGAGATTATTTCTATTTCTCTTTATTACAGTAATATTATAGTTTCATAGGTTTCTTTTATTTTCTTTTAGTTTATTTCATTATTTTATACAATAACGATGCAGGCCGTGATTTAGTTATCTTACATGCGAGATAGATTTCATAATATTTTATAGAGATTATATATATTTTTTTTAAAAAAAAAGAAATAAATAAATAAAATAGATAAAAATAAAAAATATAGAAATTTAACAATGAATTTTACTGTATATAGTATACAGTCAGGCCATAATGCAGACCAAAATCTCAACTATGTGGCATTTCAATTTTAAAATATCATGTGATTTGAATACTTGCATATAACCATTAAAAAAGGTTTGAGCATATGATTATATGATTGAACTGTAAATTAAGTATAGCGCTCAAGCCCAAACATTTCAAACATTAAGCAACTCCATTAACTCTAAAAAGTAATTTTAGCTTAAACCAACTTTTCTAATTTTTATTAGAGTTTTCAGATTCTATAACAAAAATTTTAAATAAAATATTTTGGTCAATATTGTACTTAATATAGTAATGAAATATATATTAAAATATTCATTTCAATAAGATAAATCTAACAAATTTAAGATCATTAAAATCCAATTATTAATAGCAAAATTTAAAGCCAATATAATTTTATATATTTAAAATAAAATTCTAAAAAAAAAATATAAGTTATAAAACATTTTTAGTAAAAATTATCTTTTTTACTAAAATTAAAAAAATCATTTTTTGCAATTTTCTCAAGCATTTAGTAATTCAATTTTAATGAACTTTTTTTAATTTGTAAAGTTTAATAAAAACTATAAAATAAAAAAATTTCATTAAAATTAAATTACTAAATGCCAAAAAACTCTAATTTTAACTTAATAAAAATAAATAGGAGTATTTAAAAATAAGCTTTAAGTTTAAAATCTAATATTGTAATTTAAAGGTAAATAATATATTCATTCTATTACTATAGTACTGATTACATAATTAGAAAATTTAAAAAATATGAAACTGCATATTGATTTATACTATTAATATTAATCAATACTAAATTATATTATTTTATAAAAGTAATTATCAAACAATCAAAGTAATATAAAATAAAATAATATAATAAATACTGTTAATAAGTATTTCTTAAAAATAAGTATTTTTGGCCAGAATTATAAGAATCTTAGCTGGAATTAAATGTAAAAAAGAGGTGTTTATATATTGCAAAATATGGTAACTAATGTTAATTATTACACTATTTTTTTATATCATATAAAATAATTAATTTTATTAAAATTTTAATATAAAATAGTAAAAATACAATTAATAATTTAATTTTTATCTAATTATATCTATTTATTTATTCAATTAAAATTAATTATAATTATAATTCTTTTATTTTTATTATTTGTTATTATTTATAATATAAATATAGTTTTAGTTGATTCAACTTTAACAAATAATTTCTTTTTAGATGTATTTATAAAATAAATAAATAAATAATTAGTAACTGAACATTTTCTAAAATAGTAAAATAACTTATTCTTTTACTTTTCAAGTTATCTTTAAAGTCCATTTTTAAAAAATATAGAAATTAAAAATTTTTTAAAATTCTCCTTAATATTTATATTTTAGTAATCATCTTTAAAATTATTTTTTTTAAAAAAAATATAAAAAGAAATTTTAATAATATTGTTTAATATTTATATTTTTTATTAATATTTTTTAAGAAGTACTTTTTATAGTACTTATATTCTTATCTTTAAAATTATTTCCTAAAAAAAAACAAAAAAAGAATTAGTATTAATATTTTTCAAAGAAAATATTGAAAATAATAAGATATATATTTCTTTAAAACTTATTTTTTGTTGTTAAATTATATCTGTTAATTGTAAAAACTAGGAAATTCAAGATAAATTAAATAAATCCAAAGAATTAAAACAATTATATCAGTTAACTTTACAGCTAATATTTACATTTATAACTTCTAATAAAGAAAAGCCAAAATCAAAATTCACTTCTAAACCATTATCAAATAACTTTAAAAATAAAAAAAAATATTAGAAGTTGGATAATAATATTACTCTTAAATAAAAAATATTGATTTTATACATCTATCTATAATATGGATTTATATTTAGTTGCAAGATGAATTATCTTTTGAAAATGTGTTTTGCAGATGCTAATATTACTTTAGTATATTTCTCTGATAAAGTAAGAAATTGTTCTGAAAAAAGAATGTTTAATTTTAATATATACCATATATGTATATCCAGCAGGAAAAAGCTACTTGCCAATGTCTTGATTTTTTAATATAAGGTAATGCATCTAGTTATCTACCTGAAATTAAATTACCAATACAAGAAGAAATTCAATATTTTAAAGAAAAAATCTAGGTAAATGTTAGGGTACTACTGTACTACTGTCAGATATTACCTAATATCACCCTATGAAACTTAAAATATACTTAAAATAAGTATCAATTTTAATTTGCAATATACTTATAATATTCCTAAAATATGCCTAAAATACTCTTAAAATATATTTTTAATGTACTTGTTTTTTTGCCCAAGTACTTAAATTATATTTAAAATATGCTTAAACTAGAATTTAAATACAATATAAGTGTATTTTTTACATGTTTAAAATATTCTTAAAATGTGCTTAAAAATTCAATTTAAGTATATTTCAAGAATATAAAAAATACACTTATATTGTACTTAAATTTTAATTTAAGCATATTTTAAGAATATTTTAAATATGTAAAAAATACACTTATATTGTACTTAAATTTTTAGTTTAAGTATGTTTGAAGTATAATTTAAGTACTTAAGTACATTAAAAGTATATTTTAAGAGTATTTTAGGCACATTTTAGGTATATTATAAGTATATCACGAATTAAAATTGATACTTATTTTAAGTATATTTTAATAAAATTTTAAGTATATTTTAAGTATAAAGACTTTTCATAGGGTCACTTTAATATAAGAGCTTATTCTAAAATATATTATATATATAATTCCATAGTTACCCCTCTCCCCCTAAATAATATCTGATAGCACCCTAATACTTATTTAAATTGACAAATTTAATAAACATTATTACAGATAATAATGATAGTGAATCACTTTAATAATTGGCAATTCAATGAATCTAATACTGAAAATGTGGATGTTGAAGAATATATAGGATTAAAACAAAATAATGAAGAAGTAACAGAAGAATCTTTTCAAAGCTTTAATTTAAAAAGAATTTATACATACGTTCCACTATTAAGAACACTAACTCCTTAAATATTGCTTTCAAAATAATTCAAAATTTCAATAATTTATTAATTTTTGATATTAAAGAAAATTATAATGCATTTACTAAAGGAAAAGAAGCACTGAAAAAATTAATGCAAAATAATGAATGGAAAATTGTACAATAAAACCTTACATAACTAATACTATTACTAATAGGAGTTAGCTATTTACAAATATTGTAATTTAACGCGTTTTTTTTGCCAAATATACGCGGAAAAAAACATAAATATAATATTAAGACACTTTATAAAATTTTTAAATAAAAAATACATTGTAATATGTCCCTAGTTCACGAAACTTCACGCTTTTTAACGAAAAAACAATTTTTTTAACGTCGGTAGCACAACATTGTATGAGTCGATAAACAAATAATAAAAAAGCGTCGACTCAAGATTAAAATTGGTATTATTTATTTTTAGAAGCGGGGCGGGTCGGCGACTCGGCAGGATGACTGCTCCAACATTAATTGTATTATTATTTTATGAATTATTGATGAATTATTGATGGTATTATATTTTGTAAAAATTACTTTTCCATATTTTAATATAAATTCAAAGATTTATATAAAACTGTATGGATTATCAAATAGATTCGTAGTAAGAAAAATATGGTTTTCTTTTCTTACCATTTTTTTTAAAAAGAAAGGATGTTTTTGTAATTCTAATTATCTTAATTCCGGCGGAAATTACACAGATTTCCGGAGCTAAATGTATTTGTATTTGAAATTTCACTACGTGATAATGTCAAATGTCAAATAAAAATTTGCCAAATAATCTACAAACACATAACCTTTTTTGATTTACAATAAGCTAGAATAGAGAGTGCGTGAAAGCAATCTCTATACTTTTGTACGAATTATTCTAAATATGTACGCACAACCACCTCCACCAAACGCACAACAATCACAGCAACGTCCTGCTTCGAATTCTCCACAGCCACAACAGCCGCTCGCACCTCGACTTGCAACTTCAACGCAACAAAATTTTCCTGGCTGGAGACATGGTTCAAACGCACGTCCTCCACCGCATATGGTTCCCGGAGTTCCTCCAAACGCAAGACCTCCATTTGTCCCTGTACAGAGACCACCTCCAAATGCTGGTGCTCCTGGGTTTAGGCCGCCTGCATCAGGTATTACGTTCTAAAGTCAATTTTGCGTTTATAGTTTCGGTTTGATCAAATTTCTCAATATTGTGGGTTTTATTATACCGAACAAAACTATTCTTGATCAAATAAAGATGAGCGAACATACTTTGGTTATCTTTTTTGATCAATTTGTACTCGGCTATTTAATTTAATTGATTCGATCAAACGTATTTAAATTCTCAAAAAAAAAAAGCTCAAATTTTTGATTGTATTTTAGGGGCGAGACCCATAATACCTGGACAAGGTCAAATGTCAGCACCTTTATCTCAACCGATGCAGAATAATGCTTATTCTCCCGGCGTAACGGGAACGAGACCTAAAGTTACTTCTGCGCAAGTTACTTCTGGGTATAATCAGACAACAATTCCTCCTCCCCTACCAGGTATATCACAATATCCTGTACCTTCAATCGCAGCGCGTCCACAACAAGGATCAGATGTGGACGATACACTTGTGCCTCAGATGGCAAATATAGGGATTAATCAAAGTCAAGATACAAGCCAGTTCGATGTAATGTATTTTATCAGACCAAACCTTCTTAGTGTTTAGTATTTAACAACCTTTTCAATATTCACGCTGACAAATTTTTCAATGTGCAGCAAAATCCAAAGCCCGCTAATAAACAAAATCGCCCTAAGCGTGTTCACCATCTTGGTTCAGATCTCAATCCTTCGGCATATAATCCTTCATCTCCAAATCAAAATATATATCCTCAGCCACCAATTAATGAAATACAGCCTGCACAGCAACCAATGCAACAAATGTATTCTTCAATGGTTTCACAATCATCTCAATCCGGACAACACAATGTGCAACCTGTGTTAAATCAACCTCAATATATGCAAGCTCCTCCAATTCCTGGCCCTCAACCTCCTCAACCTCCTCAACCTGCTCAACCTCCTCAACCTCCCACCATGGCTCGTCCTACAGGACCTAATGCTCCTCGTTCTCGAATTGACCCTAATCAGATTCCTTCACCAGTTACTGTCCAAGAACAGGATCAAGAACTTTTTGATGAAAAACCTTATATGACTTGCTCTAAATCAAATATACCTCTTGCGAGCACTGACTTTAAAGCTATTGATGAAGGTAATTTCGACGATATAACATTTTTTATAATAAATAAAATAATATATATATATGTATATATATTTTTTTTTATTTAGGAAATTCAAATCCTCGATTCATGAGATTGACGCTATATTCCATACCGAATACAGAAGATCTTCTTCAAACATCTCACTTGCCTCTTGGTGTTATTTTACAACCTATGGCCAAATTGAGAAATGACGAGGTTGATCTTCTAATTAATGAACAATTCATAATTTTTGTCGATTATATGTCATAGTAACAAAGCATTCTCTGATATAGGCTCCTATCGAACTAGTTGATTTCCAGGAAAACGGGCCAGTTCGATGTCGTCGCTGTAAAGCTTACATAAATCCTTTTGCTATCTTTGTGGAAGGTGGTCAAAAATTTATATGTAACATGTGTTTATTTTCCAATGAAGGTAACAAAAGTCCAATAATATATTTGAACTATAAACATTAGGCATGTTAAATATTTATAAAATATGTATTTCTCATAGTTCCACCAGAATATTTCTGTCATCTAGACATGAATGGACGACGTGCTGATATAGACCAGAGACCAGAATTAAAATATGGGACAGTAGAATTTACCGCACCAGAAGTAATAATAATTTTAATAACAAGATGTAGTTGTTAAATTAGTATGGTAAATAAAATTTTTTCTTTTATTAAAAAAAAAGGAATATTGGGCTAGGCCTCCGACACCTTTATCACACGTTTTTGCCATTGATGTTTCTTGGAATGCTATTAAAAGTGGGATGCTTGCGAAGTGTGTAGAAACTATTAGAGACATATTATTTAATAGCCCAAATAGTATACCACCAGGAGGTAAAGTTGGTATTATTACTTTCGACAAAGACGTTCATTTTTATAATCTACAGGTATTTTATATTCCAGATTTTTTTAAAATTTATATTAATTATAAGTTAATTGTTACTTTTTTAATTGAATACGTAGTCTCAACTTGAACAAGCACAAATGCTTGTTGTTTCTGATATTAACGATGTATTTGTTCCGCTCAATTCTGGATTTTTGGTTGACCCAATTGAATCCAGGTAAGATATAGAAAAATAACAATATTAGTATATTTGCATATTAAATTTGTACATTTAAAATCTTCAAGAGCTGTTATAGAAGGTCTTTTGGAATCATTATCAATAATGTTTGCTGAGAATAAGGCCATAGAATCCGTATTAGGTGCCGTTGCTGAAGCAGCTCACATGGCTTTGGTATGGTCCACAGAACTAACAACAATAACATCTATTTTATTATTATAAATAATATATAACTAAGTAAAACATAACTATTACTGGTCACTAGAGTGCAACCGGTGGAAAATTAATAATTTTCCAAACTTCTCTTCCAACATTCGGACCCGGAGCTATTAAACACCGTGAGGATTCGAAATTATATAATACGGATAAGGAGAGATCTTTGTTTTGTCCTCAAGATAGTTATTATAAGAACCTGGCGATTAATTGCGTAGATGCTGGAATTTGTGTCGATTTGTTCCTTTTCCCCAATACTTACCTTGATATAGCAACTATTGGTAAGTTCGTTATAAATAAAGATGATTATTAAGATTTTGCTTGTTTCGTTATTCTTTAATTACTATATTTAAAAGCAATTATTAAACTCTAACTTTTAGGGCTACTGTCCTGTTTAACCGGTGGTGAAACGTATTATTATCCTAATTTTGATGTTCAAAGAGACGGTGGAAAATTTGCATATGAATTGCATCAAAACATCACAAGAGAATTTGGGTATAATTCGCTTATGAGAATTCGGTGTTCTAATGGTAATTTGTATATGATAAATTTAGATTCTTTTATTTGGAAGGATTATAGAATTTCACTTTTAAATTGACTTTTAGGCTTGAGAGTTGAAGAACATTTTGGTAATTTCAATATGCGTAATACGACCGATATTGAACTCGCAGGCATTGATAGCGATAAAGCATTTGGTGCTTTGCTTAAATATGATGGCAAACTTGATGAGAAAACAGATGCATATATTCAATGTGCGCTTTTATACACAACGGCGACTGGACAACGTAGGGTGCGAACACATAATTTGAGTGTCTCAGTTACGACACTACTTGGCAATGTATTTCGACATGCTGAAATGGATACTACAGTTAACTTGTTGGTTAAACAAGGTATGTTATTTGTATAAATGTTCGTGGTAAACTTACTATAGACAATTTTATTAATTTTATGAAACAATTTTATTTTTTATTTTAATCTTAATAATAATATTAGCTGTATCGAATACAATTACCAAGCCATTGCGTGATATTCGTGATCAAATAACAGATAGATGCGTAAAAATATTGTTATCATATCGAAGACACTGTGCTTCTTCAAGTTCTCCAGGGCAGCTCATTTTGCCAGAAGCATTCAAATTATTTCCTTTATATGCTTTAACAATGTTAAAATCTAAAGCACTTCGTGGTGGTATGACGTATAACATTTTCATCTTATTATTATAATTATTGTTATTTATTGTTAATTATTAAATTATAGGTGCTAACCTTACGAGTGATGCACGAGTACATTGTATGCGTCTTATTAAAAGCATAGGTGTCGCAGAAAGTATCGTATTTCTCTATCCTAGACTCATTCCGGTTCATAATCTTTCTGATCAGGTAAGATATTTTTAATGAATTAATTCCTTTTGACCAATCATCTTATACTTTTTTTGAGTTTCAGGTTGGATATCCTAATCAGTATGGCAAAGTTAAATTACCTCCACTAATACGAGTATCCTATGATAGGCTTGAAAGTGAAGGAGCATATTTACTAGGTTTGTGAAATATCGTTGAACAAAATGTTTGTTTATATTCGTTATTTAATAACTCGTTTTTATTAGAAAATGGACATATTTTGATTTTTTGGATCGGACGTCAAATATCATCTGAATTTATAAATAATGTTTTTGGAGTAGATTCAATTGAGAAAATTAACTCAAAACTTGTATGTATACCATCATGTTATTCAAACGAACAACATTATTATTAATTGATATAAATGAAAAAAATTTTTTATCATCTAAACCCCCTAACAGTCTTCTCTTCCTGAGCTTGAAAATCCTACTTCAATACGAATTCGATCCATCATATCATACCTTCAAACTCAAAGATCGAAATATTTACGATTGACAATTGCAAGAATGCAAATAGATGCTACCGAAATTGAGTTCCATAACTTATTAGTTGAGGATGAAAACAATGGAGCTATGTCATATGTTGATTACCTTTGTTATATTCACAAACAAATTCAAACCGAGGTTAATAATATGAGTGATTAGATAATACGGGTTGATATAGTTATAGATTACCTGATTTATTTTAATATTGACATTTTTTTGACGAGCATAATATTATCTTTTTACTGTATTATATTAGATATTTTGAGAATTAAAAAAAAATGTAGTTGTTGATTATTTATTATTTAAAAGAATTAATTATTTTCAAGCAAAATGGTATAATCTAATAAAAAATTAATAAAATAAATAAATTATTATTCAAAACTAATAATCCTAAAAATTAATTAATATTTTTTTTTTGTTTTTTCCGGATAGTATCAACTGGTATTGTCAGAATGTTATTTAGATAGGCTAATCCACTTTCATATGTGCCGTTAAGGCTTTGGATTTATGATATTAGTATGGTTTAATATTAATAATTCTGATGTAAAATTTCATTTATAGTATAATTTTCCAGTAAATTCAATAAATTATTAAGTTTAGGTACTTTTAAGTTGTTTCAACTTGATTTTTTGTTTAATATATTTTATTTCCTCCTTATTTCTTTTGTAAATCTAAATTTTAATAAATATATAATAACAGTATATACACTTAACTCTATAAATGCATTACACCATAAATGCACATCTTTTTTAAATGTTGATTCTGAGTTTGGGATTTAATGATTTATGCTAAATGCATACCTTTTATAATTACATTATATAATAATTTTGAAAGGTTTATTTATTTTTTTTAAATACACATACTGTATGTATAATATACAGTGTGTCAAAAAAAACTGGAAAATTATTCATATGATAAAAATGCATGTTATATGCTCAAAATAAACTAATTGAAAATAATTCTCTCTTAATCTTCTACCATATTACACTTTATTTTTGTTTATATTTATATATAAAACTAGTTGCAAACTCTTTATAATTATTATTATCTGGAATAAATATTATAAAAATTGTAATATTACATAAACAAATTGTAAAACACATATTGAACATTTGTTAAATAATATAAGAATCATGAAAACTTAACATTATTACTTCTGAATATGTTGTTTTATTTTTATTACCAAATACGCATTCATAAATGGTATTTATAATAGCAGAAGAATTAAATAAAACTTTATTATTAATTCCTTTCTCTTTACAAATAAAACCTGATATATTTGGATTTTTCAAGTTGCAAACTATTCTAATAATGAAGTATTTTTAATTGAATTTTAAAGCAACTTGAAAGTCAAGTCTTATTGAAAAAGCATACTAAGTATTAGAATCTTGAATTTGAAAGTCAGAATAATACTACTAATCTTGTAAAAAAGGCTATCATAATGAAGTTCTGGTATTAGGTTATCAATAGTAACAAGTTTTCTAAAAGTAAAGTATTCTTTTAACATTTTTAAAAATGAGGAATGTAAAATTCAAACGTATTTATTTTAATTATAAATCATAATTCTATAATCCCATAATAATTACATAAAATTTTTACTCATCGCATTAGTATTAGCAATTAATATATAAGTAGTTTTAATCTTACTGAACAACTTTCAATTAATTTAGAAAGTCAATTTTATTTGATTAAATTGATGTAATTATACTCTGAAATTATAAACAAAAAAAATAAAAAATTTAAAAATATATAAGTAATTTTAACCTTTTCAAATAACTTTCAATTAATTTAGAAAGTCAATTTCATTTAACCAAAGTGATAAAATTATACTTTAATTCTCTAAAGTTGTAACAAAAAAGTTAAAAATTTAAAAGTTATTACCATTATCATAAAAATATGCTTTTTTATATAAATATTATACTTAATCTCATGAAAATTAAAATACAAGTAGGTTTAATTTGCTTAGTGCTTTGAATAAATCAAATCGAATCAAATTATATGTAAACTTAATTCAAAAGATATCAAAATATACTCTTGGGTCTCAAGTTTACTATATAATTTATATGATGTAAAATAAACTTTGGTATTATATTTTAAATCATTGGTATAATCAAAAAATTACTATTATTAAAATAAAAAGCTTTATTTATGATGTTTATAATAACTAATAATCATAAAATTAATATGTATGAACTTTGAGCATAGAAAGTAATGCTTAAAGCAATTAGATGTAAAAATATTACTTCATTTAAGGGGATGTATCTGATATAAGTATTCTTTGCTAAAACTTGGGATTTACAATCAATATTAATTAGATATCATAACAATATCATTATAATATTATTGCAATATTTTGATAAAAAATTGATTTAATATCATTAAGAAAAGTTAATATTCAGAATTATTTTTTATGATGAGTATTTACTATCAGAAATCACCAATCAGATTCCGGAAATCAAACCTTATAACCATGCTACTTACTATAAAGACATTGCATTCTTAACTTTACCATTTGGAAAAATATCCTTCTAAAATATAAAAGTAATTTTAAGAATAGGAGAAGGATACCAAGACCTTTTGTTAAAATACACTCCCGCATCAAAAGTTTAGGAATTAGGACCACCCAGTAAATTTTTAAAAAATTAGTTTTTTTAATGAACCAACATATTTTTAAGCTATTATAATTACTTTAATGGATAAAGAACAATTATTTATTATTACTTAAAAATAATGAAAATAAATTATTGGTAATTTAGTATCAAACATATCACACAGTCACATGACTAATGTTTACATCACGTGATGTATTGAAAAAAAGAAAAAATTCGTATTGAATAAATTATAAAAAAAATTTTTTTTATTAAACCTCTTGTTATGTATAATAAAAAAAAAATAATTTCTGACCCATAACTTCACAAAACTATAAATTAAAATAATGATTAATTTACGAAATTTACTATATAAAAATATAATAAAAATATTTCTTAGTATCTTATGGAATATCCACAAGCTTTTAAGATTGCATCAATTTTACGAATCATGCTTTCTATAAGCTTTTGGTAAACTTCACTCAGAATTTTTAACCAATACTTTTGAAGAAGTGCCTCCAATTCTACTAAATTTTTAGGATTATTTTGCTTTGCTCATATGCGTCTCTCAGGCTCATTTCACAAATATTCAATAGGGTTAAGGTCAGGATTTTGACCTGGCCATAATAGCAAATTTATTTCACTTTCTTCTATAAAATTTCATGTCCTTGCACTAGTGTAAATTGGTGCATTGTCTTGCTGGAACAGATAGTTCCCATTTTCTTCTTCAAAACTTTCTAAAAATGGTATCACGTGATACCTAAGTATCTCTTCTATGTACCTTTGACTATTAATTCAACCATCAATCCTTACCAAGGGATCTAACCCAAACTAAAGATGTTAGCCGTAATTCAAAAAAATGTCGTAATACAAAATTTTTATATGCCGTAATTAATTAAGGCTATAAAAATCTTGAAAATTTCTAAGTTTACACGGGATGTTTGTACATGGGTTATATAAATATAATTTTTAATAGACTAATTTTTTGTTTTTTAATTTGAAATTGAATGCTACCGACATTATACTCTTTTACTTTTTATTCTTATTATATTACAGATAAATATATGTATTTTCACCTGCTCTACAAGTTTACTTAAGGCATTAAAAAAGGTTTTGAATGCCGTTTTTAATCTACTAATATGACCTGTGTTTAAACATCCCGTATACAAATAGAAATTGCCAAAAAGCTTATAGCTGTAATTCAATATTTTTTAAAAAATAATTAAGGCTAACATCTTTAATCTAAACCATAAAAAACATCCCCACATCATAACTTCACTTCCACCATGTTTCACTGTTGGAATGAGACAATTAATATCATATTTTTCTTCTGTAAGACGCTAAACCCGAATTTTTCCATTATTTTGAAATATGGTAAATTGAAATTCATCATTTTACACTACTTTTTTCCAATCATCTATAGTCTATAATAGAGCTTTGTACAGGTCGGATCAGGTCAGATTACCTGGTTAACCCAAACTGAAATTTTTTACCCGACCTAATCCACTTGACCCAAAAGTATTCAGGTCACTTTGGGTAACTCGGGTTACCTGAAGTTTTATTATTATACTAAATATTTCAAGTAAAAAAATGTTTTGTAACATTTTTTTTATTAATTATACAAAAAACGTCGGGTTTGAGGATCCCAGCATTTTACTTTTTGTTTTATATATAAAACTGCTGAAACTATTAGTTTCAGCATTTTTTTTCAATTTTACATGTAAAAATGCCAGAATCATTAATTCTAGCGTTTTTCTTTTTTGATTTTATATGTAAAAATGCCGAAACTGATAGTTTTGGCATTTTTTTATGTAAAAACGCTGGAATCATTAGTTCTGGCATTTTTCTTTTTGATTTTACATGTAAAAATGCCAAAATTGATAGTTTCAGCATTTTTTTTTAATTTTACATGTAAAAACGCTGGAATTATTAGTTTCGGCATTTTTCTTTTAAAACTGATAGTTCCAGCATTTTTTTTTGATTTTACATGTAAAAACGTTGGAATCATTAGTTCTGGCATTTTTTTTTGATTTTACATGTAAAAATGCCAAAACTATTAGTTTCAGCATTTTTTTGATTTTACATGTAAAAATGCCGGAATCATTAGTTCTGGTATTTTTCTTTTTGATTTTACATGTAAAAATGCCAAAACTAATAGTTTTAGCATTTTTTTTCAATTTTACATGTAAAAATGCCGGAATCATTAGTTCTGGTAATTTTCTTTTGATTTTATATACAAAAATGCCAGAACTATTAGTTTTAGCGTTTTTTAATTTATTTGATCCAAATATATGTTAAATCAACAGGTCAGATCAGGTACTAACTAATACTGATCTGACCCGTATTAGGTTATAAATTTGATGACCTGATCTGAATATTTTGGATCAACCTATCGGGTCACCCGATCTGTTGAGTTAAGTTGCGAAGCTCTAGTTCATAAACATATTTCACGAGCCTAATTTAATCGTATTTTTCGATTATGTTCACTAACACTAGGTTTTCTCAGTACTGTACAGCTATTATAATCCATGCCATATAATGTTCGTTGTATAGTACTTCTGCTGACATTATTTCCAGTAGATGCAGTAAAAATTTTCCTTAAATTTTCTTCAGGTTCACATCAGTTTTTGGTAATAATAGCCTTAAGATGACGTATATCCCTTACAGTCAGCTTCTTTAGACGACTACTTCGAGGAGCAACAGTAATAGCACCTGTTTTATGATATTTTATTATTATATTGTGGATAGTAGTTTTTCCATAGCCTGTTTTTTCTGAAATAGCTTTTTCAGTATCGCCAGCTTCATAATAACCGATAACCTTTTCACGTTCAAAATCTGTTAGTTCTTTTATTTTAACCATTATGTTTATTATTTTTTTTTAAACAAAAAAAAAGAGGCTAAAATTTTGTGTAATAAACATTACTAATCAACGTATATTATAAATAGTTTTCCTTTAAGTTATACATGTACGTAATTATTACTGTTTAGGTATTAATTATGCAGATCCTAAAGGTGGTCTTAAACTTTTAACGTGAGAGTGTATGTAGCTTAATTCACTATGGTGCAGTAATTGCAGTTTAACTTACTTTAATTTCTGTATCTTTGTTCATTTTATTTTTGTAATTAGTGAAATTGAACCTATGATCTCACTATAATTAGAATTCACAAACTAATAAATAAAAGCAAATAGTAATCAGCTATTAAATTATCTCTTTATGATTAATATTGGTAAAGTTATAATACAGTAAAGTTTTTAAGTATAATTTTAATCAAAATTATATTAATTTTTGAATATTATAATATATATATACAGTCAACTCTTTATAAATGCACCTTTCTTAGGACTGGATAAAAACATGCGATTACAAAGGGTGTGCATTTATAAAGAGTAAATAATTAGAGGTTATATATACTTGGGACTGAATCAAAGTGTGCATTTAAGAAGGGAATGCATTTATTAGTAGTGCATTTATAGAGAGTTGAATGTATATATAAAAAATTTTTTATATTGTCATATTTCTTTATAATTAATCAACTATTTCAAATATAATAAAATAATTTTAATAGATTGTATTTTATTTTTTTTATAATTATTGGATGGTTAAAAATTTATTTAAAAAAATTAGTAAGCAAATTTATTTATTATAAATGATATTAATGTAAGAAATAATGTATTTACCGCACCCTGCGTTACAAATTTATATATATTTGTATGTTTATCATTTGCCATTTTAAGGGGTGCGGTGTATAAACTAAAGATCGACATAAACAATTTACAAAAAAGAAAGGATGCGTTGTAACGCAAGGTGCGGTAAATAAATTCACTCTTAATGTAATTTAAAAAATAGTGCATTTTTTATCAAATATTGCATTTTTTTAGCAAATTTTATTACAATTAGATTTTTCTTAATAATATAAATTTTATTAAAATCCAATTAGTAAATTACTTAAAAACAGAAGTATATAAAATATAAAATTTTTAAAAATCTTTTTATATTGCAACTTTTTTTTTTATTATTTAATAATTTAATTTTTAATAAACTTTTTTTTTTATTAAAAGTTACTATTAAATATAAATAATAAGAAAATTAAAAAAAAAACTAATGAAAATCTATTTAAATATTACCATCTTTTGCTATAAATTTATAATAGTTCCCATAAATCCTTCTTTTATTTTATTATTACTAATACTATAATTACTATTTTATAGAATTAATCTAATTTTTTAAAAAAAATTTAATAATAGTTATTTATAAGATTTAATAAATAAATTAAATAATTAAACTTACCATAATTAAGATTAGATCGCAACCATTTTTCTGTATCTTCAAGATCTTTATTAATACGCTTAGTATAATTTAAAACCTATTTATTTTTTAAAAAAATTAATTATAATTATATAAAATAAAAGTAAAATTAAAGGTTTTTATTACCTGATCTTTTTCTATCTTTCCAACAGCAAAATATTGTGATTTAGGATTTGCAAATACTAATGCTATTTATTAATTAATTTATTAATTAATTAATATTTAATTATTATTACATATAAAATAATTAATAATACCTGAGACACTAGCAGCAGGTAACATAGCCAAATTATCAGTTAATTCAATTCCAGTTTCTTCGTATATATTCATTAAATTCCACATAGTAACTTTTTCACGATGATCTGGTTGAGATGGATAAGCTGGAGCCGGTCTAATACCTTGATATTTAACATTTAATATATCTTCTAATGTTAAATTTTCATTTGATGAATATCCCCATAATTCTTTACGAATATCTTCATGTAAACATTCAGCAAAGCCTTCAGCAAAACGATCTGCTATTGCTTTTGTCATAATTACATTATAATCATCATGTTCATGTTCAAATTTCTTTACAAGTTCATCTGCACCAAATATACCAACTGCAAATAAACCTAAATAATCTGGTATTTTAGAAGATTTAGGTGCTATAAAATCAGAAAGACAAAAGTATGGTTCATCTGATTCTTTTTCCATTTGCTGTCTATAATTATATAAAATTATAAATAAAATAAAATAAATTATTAACTAATAATTTAAACTATAATTACCTAAGTCCAAAAAATGTAGATACAATTTTACTTCGTGATTCCTCATCATATATCTTTATATTAAATAAAAAATTAATTTAATTTAATAATTTTATACAATAAATAATAAAAATTAATTAATTTATATACCTGAATATCATCATCAATACTATTAGCTATTATTTAAAATAATAAATATATTTATAATAATAAATAATGATAAAATATAATGTGATAAAATAAAAAAAGAAAATATATACCAGGATAAATTCCAACAATACCCTTAGCAGTAAATAATTTTTCATCAATAATTTTTTTGATAAAAATTAATGCTTCTTCATATATTTTTTTAGCTTCCAAACCTAAAATTAGGTTTAATGTTAATACAATTAAGTGAAATATTTTTAAAGTAATAACTTACCAACATGTTCATCATTAAAAATTTTTGGAAATCCACGATTAGGATATCTTCCTCTTAATTGCCTAAATATTTTTAAATAGTTAAATAATATATTCATAATGAAAATATTATTATGACAAAACTTACCAAACTTGAAAAAAAGGATTCCAATCAATAAATTCTGAAATTCTTTTTAAATCATAATTTGTGAATACTCGTTTGCCAATAAATGATGGTTTAATAGGAAAAGGTTGTTTAGTCCAATCAATTTTAAACCCTTTTTCTCTTGCTATTTGTAAAGGTAAATATTTTTGGTTTTGTAAAGAAGCATAATGATCTTCTCTAATTTCTTGATATTCTTCGGCTATATCTTCCCAAAAATCTTCTTTTAGTTTTTTATCCAATAAGTTTGATACTACAACTACACTTTTTGAAGCATCCAAAACATGAATAGTAGGTTTGCTATATTGAGGAGAAATTTTCACTGCTGTATGTGCTTTAGAAGTTGTAGCTCCTCCAATTAATAATGGAATCTAATAAATTAATTAGTAAAATTAATATATAATGATAAAGTATGTGAGGTATATAATAGTTAAAAAAAAATTACATCTAAATTTTGTTTTTCCATTTCTTTCGCAACTGTTATCATTTCATCTAATGAAGGCGTTATCAACCCTGATAAACCAATAATATCAGCCTTTTCTTTTAAAGCTGTTGATATAATTTTTTCACAAGGTGTCATTACACCTAAATCAATAACCTATAAATATAACAATTAATAAAAATAATAAATAAAGATATTTAAATATAAATAAAATTCGTTTTTTTTAAATAAAATGAATAAATCATACTTTGTAATTATTACAACCAAGTACAACACCAACAATATTTTTACCGATATCATGAACGTCTCCTTTTACAGTAGCTATAACAACCACTCCTGCGTGTGTAGGACCTGAATCTTCACCACCAAGTTTTGCAAGATTTGCTAAACGTTCTTCTTCCATATAAGGAATTAAATGCGCTACTGCTTTTTTCATAACACTATAAAATAATAATTAGAAAATTAAATAATAAAAGAATTATATAATGGAATAAAATTACTAACCGTGCAGATTTTATAACTTGTGGTAAGAACATTTTACCTATGAAAATTTACACATTAGTGTATAAACTAATGAAATTTATATAATTTGACTACTCACCTTTTCCAAATAAATCACCAACAACACTCATACCATTCATTAAGGGACCTTCTATAACTTCTAAAGGTCTTGAATACTAACAATTGAGACTTACTTTAGCCATATTTTCATTTAATTTATACCAAATTATTACTTACACTTTGCCTAGCTTCTTCAGTGTCTTCAATAATATATTTTGTAATTCCCTTAACTAAAGCATAAGAAATTCTGGATTTTACATTTTCCTTTCTCCATTCTTCCTCATTTGCTTCTTTTTTAGTCTCTTTGCCATGCTTTTGTGCATAATTTAACATTTTTTCTGTAACATCAGAGTCACGATTCCATAATGCATTTTCACAAAGTTCAAGCAAATCTTTTGGAATATCATCATAAATGGTTAAGAAACCAGCATTTACAATTCCCATATCAAGGCCTATAAAAAGAGAGAAAATTTGAAACATAAACAAAAATAAAGAAATAAAAAAATATTAACCACATACCTGCCTGAATCGCATGATATAAGAATACACTGTGCATGGCTTCTCTAACTTTATCCATTCCACGAAATGAAAACGATAAATTAGATATACCACCACTAACCTAAGAAATAAAATTGTTTATTTGATAAGATAAATTTTCAGAAATATAATAGTCCACCAATTTTTTCATTGGTCATAATACCTTTGCACCTGGTAAAGTTCGTTTAATTTCTCTTGTTGCTTCAATAAATTCCACGCCGAAATTATTATGCTCTTCCATACCAGTACAAATAGTTAAAATATTTGGATCTGTTTCAGCATAAAAAAAGAAGTATTCATTGAGTCTGATAAAAAAAATATTTTTTTAATAAAGGAAATCTTAGTAGTTTTACCAAAAATAATATCATTAGGATTAAATCCAACTATTTCTGTTAAGGTTTCATATGATCTTTTACATATTTCAACTTTACGTTCTTTGACATCAGCTTGACCTGTTTCATCAAACTAAATTGTACGTTTGAATATATTCTAGTTAGTCATTATTTACAAATAATATAACTAAAAAAAATAAGTAAATAAATAAAATAAAAAATATATAAACTTACAGCCATAACGACTACAGCAGCACCAAATCTTCTAATAATCTTGGCCTTTTTAATGAAATCCTCAGGTCCTTCTTTTAAACTTATACTATTTACAATACATTTTCCTTGTGCACATTTCAATCCTGCTAAGACCACTTCAAAATTTGAAGAATCAACCATTATTGGGACCTAAATCAATTAACTTAAATATTAAAATACAAGGAATATTAAAGTTGAATGATCGTTTTTACATACTCTAGAAATATCTGGATCACTAGCGATTAAATTCAAAAATTTAGTCATAGCGGCTTTTCCATCTAACATGCCCTCATCCATATTAACATCAATGATTTGTGCTCCATTTTCAACTTGTGATCTTGCTATTGTTATTGCTTCTTCATATTCTCCTTTCAAAATATGACGAGCAAACTTTCTTGACCCAGCAACATTACAGCGTTCTCCTATATTTACAAAGTTTGTTTCTTTGCTAACTTTTAACACTTCTAACCCAGAAATAATCATACTCTCTAACTGTAAATTCGGTGGCGGAACTCTAGGTTTATATTGCGAACAAGCCTTAACAATAGCTTTTATATGATCTGGTGTTGTACCACAACATCCACCCAAAATATTAATTAAACCCTCTTTTGCAAATTCTGCAACTGCTTTTGACATCATCTCAGGTGTCTCGTCATAATCTCCAAACGTATTAGGCAGACCCTATGTACGTGAAATCGCCAGGAAAAATTAATAATAATATATTGAGATTTATTATGAAAATTTAACAATTACTTACAGCATTTGGATAACAAATTACAAATGAACTTGTAAATTTTGCGATATTTTGAACAAACGGTTTCATTTGCTCAGCACCCAAAGCACAATTTAATCCAATTGCAAGAGGATTTGAATGATTGATACTACTGACAAAAGCTTCTCCGGTTTGACCACTAAGGGTGCGTCCAGATTGGTCAACAATTGTACCAGATACAAAAATTGGAGTCCTTTTATAGCTTCCTTCTTCAAATAACAAGTCAATTGCATATAGTGCCGCCTTTTAAATTTAATTTTTAATTATTTATTCTTAAAAAAATCTAAAAAAGATTATAAGACTCACCTTTGCATTCAAAGTATCAAAAATAGTTTCTACTAATAAAATGTCGGCTCCACCGTCTAATAAACCCCTAGCTTGTTCCGAATATGCTTCAACCAACTCATCGAAAGTGACATTACGATAAGCAGGATTTTCTACAGATGGTGAAATGGAACATGTACGATTGGTTGGTCCGAGCGCACCACAGACAAATCTCGGTTTGCTTGGATCTCGAGCTGTAACCTGATTATTTATTAAAATATGTAAGTTGATGAATTTAAATAAATGACATCTTTTATCTTTTAGTTGAAGTCTTACTTCAATACATGCTTCCTTTGCTAGTCTAGCAGCTTCTTTATTTAATTCATAAGCATATTTCTCACAAGCATAATCCGCTTGACTAATAAATGTACTACAAAAAGTATTCGATTCAACGAAATCAGCCCCAGCCTCTAAATATGCAATATGTATATTCTTAATATGTTCGGGTTGTGTTAAAACCAAAATGTCATTATTCCCTTTTAAATCATGTGAATGGTCTTTAAATCTCTCTCCTCGAAAATCTTCTTCGGAGAGTTTTAGCGACTGAATGATAGTACCCATTCCACCATCAAGAAACATAATACGTTTAGTAAGCTGTTCTTTAAGATAAGTATTAAGGTCTACTCCATTTAAGGAGATGGAACGTTCATCATTTAATCCACTTGTAATAAAATTTTTGTTTAAAGGAGTAGTCGCGTCTTTATTATTAATGTCATCAATAGCATCCGGACCTATTTTTGGTTCGGCATCTGGGGATGCATTTGTATTTTTTTCTTTACTGATAAGATAAGCAGCATTTCCAATAATTTCATGATTCACAACATAGTCTATAGCTTTGCTTGAAACTTCTGTTGTTTTATTGACAATATCTTTAACAAGTTCAGTTGGGGATTTATTACTCATTAGCGTAAATGTAGTACTAATTAATGCCCAAAGTGCTTGAAAAGCTTGGTTTAATTCAATATAACAAAAATAAACTGTCTCAAATATAATTTCTTTTGCCTCAATAAAACTTTTGGGAAATGGACGATTGAGAAGTTGACTGTTATTATTTGACAGCCTATCGGGAAAATTGTTGCTGCTTGACATAATTTTAATTTATTTATATGCCAATTTAAGGAAAGAAAAAAAAACAATAATGCATAAAAGGTACTTTGTCACAATGTCTCAAAAAAATGATCAAATCATCCATTAACAAGTAAACACATTTTTTTGTTCTTTTGATCTGCATCATGCAGGAGATGCAGATCATACATATTATACCACTTGAGACCACACTGTCGTCGAAGTTTAATAAAATAAACCTCTACAAACTAATAATCTAAAAAAATGGCAGCAGAATACAAACAAGTATTATATGAGATACAAAGGCAAAATGGAAATAAAGTATGTTTTTAACTGAATTGACCTTTCTTTTTAATAATCAAATTTAAAACTTACATATTTAGAATTGTGTTGATTGTGGAGCACCTAATCCACAATGGGCATCGGTTTCTTTTGGAATATTTATTTGTTTAGAATGCTCTGGAGTTCATAGGTCTTTTGGTGTTCATGTTAGGTAAAGTTTAATAATGTATTATTTATGTAACTTTCTTTTGAGATGAGTTTAAGCTAATTTCTGTTGATAATAAGTTTTGTTCGCTCGATAACCATGGATAAATGGTATGATGATCAAATTAAAAAGATGAAAGTAAGTCATTAGGATACAATAATGCGTTATCAATATATATGATAAAAAGTAGCAATAACCGAATTCTAAAATTCTAAAAAAAAAATTTTAATTATTACTATTTTTGACTATAATATAGCTTGGAGGAAATACTGAATGGAGAGAATTTTGTGAGGCATCATCAGAATATTATCCTGAAATGTCTTTAAAAGATAAATATCATAGTAAATTTGCAACTGAATATCGTGAAAAGGTTTTTAAATTATTTTATATTTTTAAATGAAAAAAATCATCTCATTCTAATATCTTTTTTTTTTTTCAGTTGACAGCAAAATGTGAAGGGAGAAAATGGACACCATCTGCACAAAGTTCTGGGAAAATGCCAAGTCGGCCATCATCATCTAACAGTAATCGATCATCAAATCGGAATAGTGTCGGTGCTGCTAGTGTACGACCAACATCTTCATATCAATCTAATGGATCTAGCGGAGATTTAAGTAGCCTAAATAATAGTAACAGTTTTTCCTCTTCTGGTAATAAAACAAAAAATGAGGAATATTTTGCAAGTTTGGGAAGAGCAAATGAAACACGATCGGATAATTTGCCGCCAAATCAGGGAGGAAAATATACAGGGTTTGGTAATCCAGCATTTGCAAATGAAAATACATCATCCTCAAGTGCTTCAGTACCAGATTTAGATGAATTAATGAATGATCCTGTTAAAGCCTTCACAAAAGGATTAAATTTCCTTGGCCATCATGTCGCAGAAGGAGCAAAATTGGCAGCTCAAGGAGCTGAAACCTTAGGACAAACCGTTAATGAACGTGTGATTAAACCTACAACAGAAAAAGTAAGAGATCCTGAATTCACTTCACAGGTTGCAGGTTATGGAGCCTGGATTGGTAAAACCGTTAGTGAAACTGCCTCAAGAGGTATCTCCACTATATCGAGCATTTCTTCAAATCAATCCTCATTTTCAGCTAGGCAAAATTATTCTCCTATATCAGATAATTCTTCTTATAACGATCGTTCTTCTTATAATAATGATAATGATAATGGAGATAATGATTTTTTTGCAGATACTATTAATCATTATCAGCAAAGAAATTCTCCTTCTGGTAGTGGAAGAAATTCTCCTTTTAATAATAACAATAATACAAGAACTTCTTCGCCTAAAGTTTCTTCGTCTGGTTCTATCACAACTAGAAGAAGAAATGAAGTAATTAAGAAAGATAATGTTTGGGATGATGAATGGAATAGTTGGTAATCAATGTTTTAATAATAATATTAGGAATTATTCATTCGTTTCTTTATTTTTGAAAAAAGTTTTAAGGGATAAGCAGTATTTATTTGGTAAGGCAAGAGTTTAAATGGAATATTATCGTAGATGTTTTTATTTGTATTTGTATTAGATATATGGAATTTATTTTGAAGAAAAACAATGTTCTCATAGAATTTAGAATTTATAATTCATGTAAAGTTAGAGTTAATATAATATTATTATAATAATTTGCCATACAAATGTTTTTTATAATTGCTTTAATTGCTTCCCTACGAACCAATCACAATTAAGTTAATGCTTTCCACGTGATTTAAACGCTCCATAAAAAGCGAGCTCTTTTCCAGTCTTTCTAAACATGTTAGAAAATGTCAGAACAATTAATTAATTTATATACGCATAGAATTGCAACAACAGACAAACCATGTTTTATATGTAATAAATATACGAGTTCCGTTTTAAGAACTGATAATGGGTTAGATTGGTTTTATACTTGCGAGAGGTACTGAATATTTACGAAACTTAGGATTTCAAGAATAGTTATAAATACTTGAGAAATATTAATTTAATAATTATATTTTCTAGTCATTTAAGTGATAGAGGATTTGCTACACCTATTCCGGAACCGGAACCGGAACCCAAATTACCTGTTGTTCAATCAACAAGAGTAAGCATTTCGCAAAAGGACGATTCTTCAAAATCTAAATCTGATCCTGATATTAATCAAGAAAAAGATAAATCAAATGATTCTACAAAAGTAGAAAGTAAACAGCAAGAAGGAAAAGAAGATAATATAAAAGAACAAACGGAGGATAAACAGCAAGTTGCAACACCTAAATCACCAGAACAACCACAACCACCTAAATCAACTAAACCTAAACAATATAAATTACATAGCAATATTTTTTATTTAAGAGAAGATAAATTAAATAAAAAGCGTCAAAAAGAGGAAGCTCAAAAGATTTTAAGTAAATTGCCGAACGTGCCTAAAAATTCTTTACAATAATTTCAATTTAGATTAATTCATGCGTCTATTATATACTTCGAATTTATGTTGTTTCATTTCATAATCTGAATGAGATCCAAGATGTCCTAAATAAGAAAGTTGAAAATTAGAGAAAAATTGGAGAAAATTCAAAAAAAATTTCTTTTATTACCTTCGTTGAAACATGATTGACAATATAAATCTCCATCACAATCTCTACATTTTATAATCGCATCTTCATTACAAATACCTAATTGAAAAAAAAAAGTTAGCAAATTACTATAATTAAAAATTAATACGATTAATACTTACAGCACCAATTATTAAGATCATAGTCATCTAATCCAAATTCCGATAAATCAATTGGTTTAGGCGGAGGACCCAAACTACTAATACTAATATTATTTTTATTTGAAATATTTTCATTGGTAGCATGTATTTTAAATTCTTTGTATCTTTTTTCTAATTCAATAAAATCTTGTTCTTTCTTTTCTTTTAATTCATATAAATTATCTTTATATTTTGATTCTAAGTTTATTTCATCTTGTATTTCTTTAATTAAACGTGTTGCATCATCATTTTCATCAAAGTTTTTATTTGAGGGTGTAAATTCTTCACCTAGAAATTCCGTCATTACTTTATTTAATTTTTTTTGATCATCATAATTTATGAGGATCGGAGTATTTAAGGGTTCCGACATTGATAATTTTTCAACCTGATGTCAATTAAAGAGTTTAGAATAAAATTAAGGAATTTATTAATTTGATAAATTTAACTTGCCTCTTTTTCATCAAATCCCTTCTCTATTGGTAATTTATATTGAAAATCATTTGTATTTTTTAAATTTGACGTCGAAGGAAAAAATGAATCAATATGCGAAGAACTTTTTGTCAAATCTATTACCGAAGTGCTTGTTTTCGCTATATTTTTGTTGGAACTTGGTTTATGTCCGAATAGTTTTGCAAATCGCTCAACTAATTCTTCTTCACTTTAAAGCATTATGTTAGAAAATTTATCAAAATATATCATTAAAATAATAAAATAATATTTACGTTAAATTATCTTTGTTATCTCTGGGCATTTTAATAGAAAATAGCTCTCTCTGTTACAATTTTCCATTTTATAACTTGTATAACCTCCCATGAATATCATTTTAACCAATTATAAGTTTTTCCGAGTCGATCTTTTACATAGAAACCCGTGTTTCTCAGACACCGGAATTCTCTCCACTCAATAAAATGAGTTCACCAGAAATGAAAGAATTTCAAAAATTTCTTTATGAAGAAATTATAATTAAACAAATTTCACGTCACAATCCACCTCTAATATCACAAAAGTGTATTTCAACCTTATTACGAATATTAAATAATATTTTAGAAGAACCTTACAATGAAAAATTTCGTAAATTACCTGAAAAAAATAATCTGATTAACTCTAATGTTTTGCAAATCACCGGCGGTAGAGAATTTCTCGTTAAAATCGGGTTTAAATCAAAAGTTGTAGAGTTTGAAAAATTTTTTATTTTAGAATTAAAAAATACTTCTCCCGTTTGTAAAGATGGTAGTAAGAAAATCAGTGATGAATTATTTCTTAGACAAATAGAAAGATTGGAAATTGCTCAAGAATTACTTAAAGATTATTTGAAAAAGGTTACTGAGCATGCTGAAGCTGTAAGACGAATGCAAGAGAGAGAAAAAATAGCTGGAGAACTTCAAAAAGCTGCTGCTTTGGAAAATATCAAAGAAGATAAAGAACGCAGACAAAAGCAACAAGAACAACTTAAATTACGTAGACAACTTGAGAAAGAAACACAGAGACATGAGGAAAGGCTAAATATGAACGAAGAAAAAGCAGAGTCAGAGCAACAACAGCTGGAACAATCCCCTTTTTATCGTCCCTATCATCATTCTCATTTTGAAGAAAAGAAAAGCTAATTTATATTTATTTTGCGGTTATGACTAGTAAAAATTATTCATATTATGAAAAATAATACTGTTTTCTTTTTCATCTTACTCTTTATGTGCTATATATTATTCCTCTTTTTTATCCTTACTTGAGAATGTTATTTTTTTTATGTACATTCTAATAAAAATACACTTTGAGATATTTTGCTTATAAAAGTTAAAAGCAAGAAAATAAAAAATTCTATCCTTTTTATCATTAAGATAATCAAGTATCCTCCGTCATGATTTTAACAAATTCTTCTTCGTTTACTTTTAAGTAATAAAATTTGTAAAGGAAATATAAACTTTAAAACAATGTAGGTTCATTAATAAATAAAAAAGGATACTTTCTCCATCTTCATCTAAGTCGAATTCATCTATCATCGCTTGTAGTTCATCTTCATCTAAATTTTCTCCCAATTCCTTTGCAACTCGTTTCAGATTATGAAGCGATATTTTTCCAGTATTATCATCATCAAAAAGTTGAAAGGCTCTATGAATTTCTTCTATAGGTGATCTATTTACAACTCGTTCTGCCACTAAATTTCATTTAGATATAGTTTCTTATAAACCAAAAAAAAGTAAAGTCAAATACTTACTAACTTTAAAGAAATCCTCAAATGCTATTACACCTTCTTCATTTTTATCATGTTGTCGAAGAATTCTCAACAATTCAGGTTTTTTCTCGTCAAAGCCAAGAGCTTTCATGGCAAATTTCAAACCGTGAATATCTAAAGCATCATCTTTGTCGGTATCAAATAATTCAAAAGCTTCTTTAATTTCAACTTTTTGTTCTTCTGATAATTGAGGTAGTGGAGGCGGCGTTTTTGAAGTTATCGTCGTAGGTGCCGGAGGTGGAAGTTGTGGTGGTGTTGACGACGTATTACTACTAATAATATTAGTTGCGACAGTCGCGTTTGTTGCGTTATTATTACTATTACTATCGTTGCTACTAATTTTTTTCTTTTTCGTGCCAGAATTTGTTATATTACTAGTGTGAGGACTGTTATATTTTAAACTCATTTTATTTTGTTTAATGGAGAGATAATACGTATTCTATTACCTTCCGTTCACCATTATAGCAATTTCTCTTCAGTTTTACGGCGCAATAGAATCAGAGAATCTAACAAAAATTTTTTTTGATTGGTGGCTTAGCCGTTTCTCGACGACCACATGCTGCATCACATGATAATACATAAATATATGCAAAAAAAGTACTCCAGTAAAAATATCCGATATATCAAGACATCCAAAATTTTAAAATTATTATAAAAGAACTATCTGTTATACATTAAAATCAAAATATTCATTTAGTTTACTTTGCCTTTTTTCATTTATATTATTGAAAAAGATCCTTTTTTCAATTTAATTAAATTTTTCATTTCTAAATTACCAATCTCTAAATCTTTTTGTTGAATATATTTAATTACATTTTTCAATGCTATTTAATGCAACTATTGTAGAGATTTCATCTTGCTTCTCTTCCTCCTCAATTTCCCTTTCATTTGCTTCCTTTACAACATCAACAATTTCTTGTAATGATAATTCCTTTTCAGCAGATACTTTATTATCAATATTAATATAGTCATCACAGCTAAAGGATCTATGAATCCTAACTCTTCAATTAATGATTGTAATTCATGTCCAATATTATTTTCTCCATAATCAGAATTGTTTGAACCTTCAGAATCTTCCATATTATTATTGGAAAGGATTCCAGCTTTAGCCCAACTGTTAAGAATTGTTTTTTTAGATACTTTTTTTTAGGCATTAGCAATTAAATTGATTGAATCAAAAATATCAATTGGAGGTGGAATGGGGTCTCCCTCTTCATAAAAATTGTAAGCTTGAATATGATTTTAAGTATTTTTAACATAGCAATTTGTAATATTGTACTTTTAAATTACAAATAATACTTTGATCTAATGGTTAAAAAAATAATGTTATATTTGGTGGTAAAAAATGAATCTTAACATTTGAAAGACTATTGATATTCTTAAATTCATGACATCTAGTATTATTTATTAGTAAAAAAATATGCTGATTTTCTCTAAATATTTTGAAATTTAATCTTTCAAAATAATATTTAAATATACTTCTTTGCATCCAAGCTTTATTTAGAGTCCCAATAATACCAAATAGAGAGAGATTTTTTTTTCAATTCCTTTTAATGCATGTGGTATTTTTATTTACTATGGATAAAAACTAAAGGCAATCTTTCATCACCAGAAGCATTACAAGTTGCCAAAATACAACATCGTATGCTATTATTTTGGATAGTTTTAAATACCAAAAAAGAGCAGTTTTATTGCAGTTTCAGATATCTTTCAATTCATATACTTGAAGAATTTTTTGTAATTCAGCTCTCATTTGTAGAAGTTTATCAATAGGAACACTGCAGGATCCTGAAATATACATAAAAAGGTTAGATCTGAGTTTGTGTACAACCAGCCAAAAAATATGAAAATCTTTCCTTTTTTTAGATAATTCCTAGTAAAAAGATATTTCCTTTTTTGGTCACTCACCAAAATTATCATAATTTTAGTCCTGAAAGAATGCGTATAGCTATTAGTAAAAATTTTTTGGCTATCTCTGACTTTCTATATATATTTCAGGATCCTAGCACTGCTAGCTTTTCCTTTTTTTTTATATGTATGCAAATTATTTCTCTGTTTAAAGTTGCTTAACTATCCTGCAGATGCTAAAAAGTTAGTAATATCAAGTATTGGGGCATGTAAGAAATTACGTGATTTAGTGGGTAGTGGGGAGTCAGGTCCTGCAATCAGGTGTCACAATATACCTTTTATGGTAATAATATATCCTTTATAGTAAATAATATATAATTTGTTTATTAAAAAGTTTTTTTGCAATTATCTCACCATCTAAAAGACCAATTTTAATGAATTTTTTTTTGTTTTATAAAGTATAAAGAGAGCTACAAAATAAAAAAAAAGTTTATGCAAATTGAATTATTGGATAGTAAAATAATTGTATTCTAATATATATGTAATATAAAGTAATTTATTTATTAAGAAGTTTTTTTGCAAATTAACTTACTATCTAGCAGTTCAATTTTAATGAATTTTTTTTTTTTNTATATGTAATATAAAGTAATTTATTTATTAAGAAGTTTTTTTGCAAATTAACTTACTATCTAGCAGTTCAATTTTAATGAATTTTTTTTTTTTTTTGTAAAGCATAAAGAGGTTTACAAAACAAAAAAAAAGTTTATGCAAATTGGATTATTGGATAGTGAAATAATTGTATTATAATATATATATAATATATAGTAATTTATTTATTAATAAGCTTTTTTGCAATTATTTCACCATCTAGTAGTCCAATTTCAATGAATTTTTATTTTATTTTATAAAGTATAAATGGGGCTACAAAACAAAAAAAAAGTTTATGCAAATTGGATTATTATTAATTTATTATATTATAATATATATATATTAATATAATATATTATATATTATATGTATTTTTTTAGCTAATCAGAATTCAATCACATGGTGGGTAGAAGGGTTAGGTCTCTAATTGAGCATAATCACATGATTTCTAACACGCCCTTAAAGTTAGTACACTCTGCTACTTTTTGTTAGATAATAGGCTATTAATAATTAAATTTTTTGAAATTTATTGATTAATCCAAATGCTCATTATTTCTTTTAGTTATAAATAAACACTAAATTTTTCACGAAATTATTTGCATTTGGTAAATAAAAAGCCAATGTTCTGATCTTTTTAAATATTAGAAACTGTGCTAGTGGAAATTCCATATTGTACTATCAAGATTTTTTAACTATAATTGATTTAGAATAAAAGGTATTGCTAGATATCACCAGTGATGATCGTCATCACACCACTTAATTCTGGCTGAAAATTATAATTTTGGCCAGAGTTAAAAAACACATCATAATTTTTTTTCAAAAATTTCAATTTAAATAATAAATGTGTAAAACAAACCTGGGTAGATACTAATCACACTAAAATTTTGAAAATTTGACTAAAAAAAATCTTTTTAAAACAAAAAATTGTATTTTGCTTATAAAATAAAACTTTCCTATTTTTCTCAAAAACTATCTAAACAATAGCCTTTATAATCTAAGGCAAACTTATTCTACCCATAAATTTACATATAGTAATGATATTTATATTATAATTAGAATAATATCTCAGTCAAAAATTTTTGAAAATTCAAAAAATATTTTACATGTAGTGACAATCACCACTGGTGATATTTAGTAATACCCTAGAATAAAATCTAATTTATGAAATATTGAGATTTTACTAATAAAGTCCAATATATTAAGACTGTTTTAATATAGATGATTTGGTTCTAAAAGAAAAATCTAAAATAGTGCTAAATTTGGTTTATCAAAGATCTGATTTATCAAGATTACCTATGTATATAGTTTTTATCTATACAGTATTATATAACAAAGTAGTATTGCTACCCAAAACTTATTTAATGATAAAATTCAAAAATCTGAAACTTAAAAACTTTATTTTTAATGAAAAAATTGGTAAATCTGAAATTTTTCTAAATTATAATTAGTTTTAGAAAAGCATAAAAACAGTTTAGGCAATTAATTTTATTATAAAAAATAATTTTGGATTGAATTTTCACTAAACTAAAATTTTGAAAAAAATAGTTTTGGTAAGCATTCTTATAACAAAACAGACCATATGGGCTGATTTGTCTACTTTTAATTAAAATATTGATTTTATTACATTTTTATTATACAAAATACTATATAATATACAGTAAATTGGGGGTGAGTATTAAAAAACTTTTATTTAATGTTATTATACTATAAGTTGGTAAATATTTCTTTTAAATTAATATAATTCTTAGCACTTACTATATATATTAAAAATTTGTATTTCAACTTTAAACGTAAATATTTTCAGATCTAATGATCCAATCAGCAAGCTCTTTTTCGCTCATATAAACCAGATCAAGGGCTTTCTGAAGAGCCTAAATTTATAAAAAACGGATCAGTGAATCCCAAGATATTTGCATTTAAGCATATTAAAAGTTTGTACCTCAACTTTAAACGTAAATATCTTTGGATCTAATGATTCAATCGGCAAGCTATTTTTTCGCCTATAAAGTCCAGAACAAGAGCTTTCCAACGAGCCTAAAATTATAGAAAACGTATCAGTGAATCTTGATATATTTGCGTCTAAAGATGGTAATAAAAATTCTGAAATAAAATAATTATTTTTATTGTTTGAAAATATCAATTATGATACCATCTTTTATATGATATTTTTATTATACTTTTATAAACATTTATAGCTACTAAGACTATATAAATTTTTATTTTACTTTATATTTTATTAAAATATACTTACTTTTTAATAATATATGTTAAAAATTCCATATATATGAGAAATGGGTTTTTTCACACCTCTTTTACATTTAATAATTTAAGTTTCGCAAATGTAAATTTTTGTTCAACTTATTATTTAGTTAAGTGATCATCAATCAGATGATTTTTTGGTATTACAAAACAATTTTGAGTAATGAAAATTGTGCAAATCAATTCAATAACTCTTTTTAATGCAGAGTAGACAAATCAGCCCATATAGGGTTGATCACCCTATCTCAGTAGTTGGTTACTGAGACTCTCATTAAGCCTGAGTATGGTGAGGTCGCAGGTTCGATTCCCATGATCATGGAAATAAAAAGAATTTTACTGTGGATAGGGATGGTAAAGTCCCTAGATCCTGGACCTAAAGACTTGATCCTAAGACCGGGTCCACAGATCTTTAGGTCCGGATTTAGGACCGATGAAAATCAGGTCCTAAAAAGTCCTATCCAATAGAATTTCAGTAATTATGAGATTTATAGTAATATGCCGATATGCTGATTATGCCGATATCTCATATCTTCAACACGTAACACGTAATAATGAGTAATTTTTTTAACAGTTCAGATGACACGTTTATTCCAAATATTGATGACATAGATGATATAGATAATGAAATAGAAGAGCCTGAGCCTTCACGTAAAACTGCTTCAGTATGGAACTATGTAAATTGTAAAGATCCATCTCACCCAGAAGTACCAGTATGTAAAACATGTAGTTATGTATTTTCTATTAAGTCAGAAAACTCTAGTATTAAACGACATCTTTTGAGTAAACATTGTATAGTAATCCAAAAAGTTCGAAAGCAAACTACCCTAAAATTTAAATGCAAGGATCCTTGGCCTGAGAAAGAAAAATTGGAGCGGGATGACGCTGTTGTTACTTGGGTAATTGCTGACCAACAGCCCTTCAGTGTTGTGGAGAAGAAAAATTTTATCAAAATAATGAATGTTTTCAATTTTCGTTATAAGGTTCCTGACCGCCACCAAATTAAAGAAAAGGTAGTCCAAGAGTTCAATAAATGACGTCTAAATATTCGTTATGATTTACTAAAAATACCTGGAAGAATCTCCTTTACTGCAGATATGTGGACATTAACATTAAGCAGTGAAGCGTATCTTGGTTTAACTATTCATTATGTTGATGAAAATTGGACTTTCCGGCGTTTTTTACTTGACATTATTCTGTTTAAAACTCGTCATACTGGAATTAACATGGCAACTGCAATTAATAATGTTCTTTGCGAGTTCAATTTAGCAGGTAAAGCACTAGCACTTACTACCGACAATGAGTCTGCAATGCTAGTATGCGGTCAAAAGTTATCAGAAGAATTTGAGAGTGCTTTAGATGGTTTTTCATTTAGTCATTACCACTGCTCAGCACATATTCTTAACCTCACAACTAAACAAGGGATGGAGATAATTGATGAAGAAATTCTTAATGTGCGTAAGTTGATGATAAAGATCAAGAATTCAGTTTTATTATGTAATGATTTACGCGAGTTATGTTCTATGAAGAAAATTGAATATCTTCGGCCTGAAGTAGATATAGAAACTAGGTGAAACTCCACCTACTATATGCTTTGTAAATTTCAAAGAATGGAAACGGCGTTAAAGATGCTTGTAATTAAACATGAAAACGTCTGAGATTTAATGCCATCTCTTATAGCATGGACAAAGATTAAGGTATGTTTGATATTATAATGATCAAAGATTTTCAGGATAACAGTAAGGATAGGAGCTCCCGAATCTTATTTAATGAAATATCATATGAATAGAAGAGGCGAGAGGTGATATTCTTCAAAGAAACGAAACTAAAAATCGAGAATATTATTATGTAAAATATTAAAAGATATTTCATGTAAATTAACAAATTTATATTTTAAAAATCAATAAATTAATTACATTTATTTCCGTAGTTATTTTAATAAAATCTACTATTATTTTGCAGGAAACAATAATCGTTTTAGAACCACTTAAAAGAGCCACCAAAAATCTTTCAGATGCTAAATATCCAACCATTGCTGACGTACGATTCTATTTTAATGAAATTCAGGACCATCTAAAATACTGTATGGAAAGTGATCAATATTTGTTAGCCGATTCGATAAATCAAAAAATTGAAGAATACTGGACGATTCTTGATGATGCAACTATGATTGCTACAATCTTGGATCTACGAAACAAAATTACCCTCTTTGAATTAGTGAATCAACAACGAAAGCAATTAATACCTTAAAAGAAAGGTTTTCTTTTTATTATAGCAAAGTTCCACGATCACGAAATTCCATACCTAAAGAAAACAATAATGTATCAGGAAGAGAATATTTCTACCAACTAAAGAAATGGCGTTTAGGAGAAACTACTAAAACAGCACAAGCTTCAACCCCGCCTTCAAACAATCCTGATTTCACAGAAATAGAACGATACCTAGCACTGCCTTGTAATGGGAATGTAGAAGTACTACTTTGGTGGCAAGCTCATACTGTTGAATTTCCAGTACTCTCATTAATGGCAAGGGATTATTTGGCGATACAATCCACAAGTGTTGCATGCGAACAGGGTAAGTTTATTAATAATAGTTGTCAAATAAATAACACATATCCATTTGAAATAATCAATAATTAATTGTTTTAATTGATTAATTCATTAATTTTGTGTTTATTTTTTTTTTTTCTTATTTCAAAATTTAGCATTTTCTGTTGCTGGAAATACAATTACGAAAACTCAAAATCGACTGCAACCAGAAACTGTGAGGGCGTCATTATGTGCTAAGAATTGGATAGATAATAATATTGGAGAAAAAAATGTGGCTTAGCCGTTTATTTGGAATTTTTGTAACCGATCAACAGTTCTAAACTAATTAAGGTTTTAATATGTAATAATAAACGGTATAACTAAATTTTGCTTTTTGTATTACTAATTTACAGCATTATTTAAAATTTTTGTAAATATACGTCAAGTTTTTAATAATTAATATGTAGTTTTAAATCGTAGTAACACTAATAATAAAATTTTAAGTCGTTTGATAATAAATTAAATGAAACCAATTTTTATATATATGACAAAAATTTATAAATAATTTAGCCCAGGACCAGGTCCTGGGACCAGGTCCAGGACCGGACTTAATAAAACTCAAGTCCTGGGACTCATTCCTTTAGGACCTGGTCTGCAGGTCCGTTCTATAGAACCTATAAGTCCCAGGACCAAGACCGGACCAGGACCGACCTAACCATCCCTAACTGTGGACGCTACCACCAATAGCGGGAAGATACAGGGATTAGGTAGTTGGACTGCATCATGGTAAATTAGTGTGTACGGTTAGGCCGCATATTTCAACAAAGGGTTATGGTGTCCTTCTAATGTTTCCTATGAGGTCATTGGGATGTTCAGAGTCCCGTCTGTAAGGTCACTGCTTGCATACCTTGGGGGTAATTTCCTATCCAGATGGTTACTCAAATGATACCGCTTGGGGTCTAATGTGGCTAAATAGTTATTATAGATGGTAAAATCCTGGGTGCAATAACTTTGTAGTAGTTTACTTTCTAATAGGTTTAGGCTAACTAGGATATTCCTGAACAGACAGGTGTACTAGATGAGGTATAAGGTTCAACTCCTTACTAGGCGGGTACCGGATGGCAGCTTGGGTGGTAGGGCACCAGGACCCCAGATAATTATAATTGAGGTCATATCTTACTATGTTTTAAACTTTATTTTCTTTTAACATGTAATTTTATTAAGTTAATATTATTTTTTACCATAGAAAAAAATGTTTCTTTTGAAGAAAAGAATCTTTTGATATCAAAAATCTTGTAAATCTACTAATTAGAATTTGAGATAAGTATCATTACACAGGTAAAATTTGGCAAAAAAATATACGCTTTTTCACTATCGGTATACATAGAATATACAAAAAAATAAAAATTACTATTATTAAATATTACTTTTTAAGTAACAAAATTATAGATAATAGAAGGGCAATTATTATTACAAAGTTTTGTATTTATAGCTTTAAAAGTAAGTTCAGGATGACAAGGGTAAATTTTTAGCATAGAAGATATGACCTTAATTATAATTGTCTGGGATCCTAGGGCACCACTGGGAATAATCCCAAACAAGCGAGTCTGTACTATCTCATGTTCTCTCTAAGGTTGCTTGCCGAAACCTAGGGGTTTAGGCAAGATGGCGTTTTGCCGAAAAGCGAAATTCTGCTGAAACTATATTAAAATTATATTAAAAAACTGGCAAAACTTTGGAGAAAGGCAAAACTGCCGAAACTTATTATAAATGCCAAAACTGCCGAAACTCTGCCGAAACTATAATAAATCTATAGTAAAATTTTGATGAAACTAATCGTAAAATTTTGAAGAGGTTTAGACAAGCAACCTTAGTTTAGAGGTAGGCTCTGAATCTGGTCAATCCGGTCATCCTAGGATCAATCCGTCTAATAGGCGGATTCGGATTGATCAGATGAATCCGTCAAATAGACCGGATGGATGACCGGATATCCGATCAATCCTATACGGGATCGACAAAAAAATTTCCTTTTTAGGAAATTTTATGTTACACGACCGGAAACTAAATTTAGAAAAACTGGTTTTTTGTGGAACGGGTATCGCCAAAAATGGAAATGATCGACATACCCGTGCGTCACGTGACAACAATTAAATACCTAATCATAAATTCCTGGGGCATATCCGCGGATCTATACCCTAACCCCAATTTTTTGGTATAACCCCAAATTAGTAGACCAATCATATAGTGCATGTAGCGACGGTCAATCAATTTGACACTACCAGCTAATAACCAAAAATTCCGCAACTATTTTTATTTTTTCGTTTAAAATATTTAATATTTATTTTTAATTTGATTAAATAATATTTTAAAAAAATAATCGTGTTGTACCTATTTTTGATATATTTAATTTTGACGATCTATTATACGTGTAACAAAATGTACATTTAAGATGATCGATCTATGGCAAAATGCACGTAAAAAATTTTTTTTAAAATATCGTTTATAGTTTACTTTTATTTTTTTACAATGGTAATAATTGAGAAAATTGGCAATTACCCAGAAGATGACACTATTATCTATAAACAGAGGAATGAAAAGGGAATAGTTAATCGGAGTTTTACCTATAAAATAATTACAGTAGGAAAATACCCAGATAAAAAGATTCTTCAAGTTACTCGTGCACCAAACTGTTATCCTATTCCTGATGATTACAAAATACAAACAAAGTGGGGACGCGGAAATGAAAACAAGGTAATTCAATGTATAATTACATATCAAGACAACAAACCTTTGTATTGTATACAATATGGTGAAAATTTTAGTGAGCAAGTTTTTTCTAAGTCGTCAGCTACCAATACTGCTGATTTATTACATAAGGTAAAGTGGTTATAATTAAATTTGTATATTTAAATATTTCATTAATTTATAATTTTTCTATAGAAATTTACCGAAAGTAATGCCAAAACATCAGGAATTTTACTTTTTGGATTACAACTTAATAAATTAAAAGAATATCGAGAAACGAAATCAGTCAAACCACACACAAAGATTTTGAAGCCTGTTAATGAGATGACAACTTCTGGATTGACAAAACGAGCAACGAAGATATCATCTAAAGTGTCAGAACAATTTTCAGAAATTGCCAACAACTATTATCTTTCAGAAGATGTTCCGTTATTGAAATCAATAGAATTTAGCGTTAAAGATAAAAGATATGATATCTATTATGGAAAAGAAAATCAAGTTTTAAAACATAAAAAAGAAGTTGCAATTGTAAGAGCAATGGATAAAAGCAGAATTTCGCGTGATGGATATAGATATCTTACGGCAATTGAGCCAAATTTACCAAAAGAAAATGCAATATCTGAGCAAAAAGTCTTTATTAACAATTTAATGGAACAAAATGTTAAAATTAAAATTATTAATATTGAAGCAACAGCAGAAGTGAATCCTGATGAAGTACCACATATTATGGATGAAAATATTGTAGAAACAGTTATTAATTCAGTGGGTAAAGCAGGAGTTCGAAGTATTAAAGAAATTTTAATATTTCTAATACCAAGTTTAGTTAGAAAAAATATTTTAAATTCATCACAACCTATTATTTCAATTAGAATTTCAGGGGATGGAAGAAATGTTAGCCGAAAGGTTAAGCATGTTATGATTACATTTGCAATTCTTAACCATAAAAAAGTTCTTTTTTCCCCTGAATATCATTACACTCTTATTCTTTATCCTGGGTCTGAAGAATATAATACTTTGGATATAACTACGAGGTTATTAAGAGAAGAATTATGGCAGCTAAAAAATCAAGGACTAACTATTGGTAATGTACAGTACATTGGAAATTTGAATTATATTTTTCTTCTGATTGGAAGTTTTTAATTACCTGTTTAGGATTTAATTCTCCAACAAGTAACTATTTTTGTCCTTGGTGTTTAATTAAAAAGAATCAACATAGTGATTTAGATGCTAATTGGACAATCTCAAAAAATATGAATAATCTGAGAAATAATTATACCTTTTATTCAGGTCATCATAAAAAGCCATTGTTTGATATGATTGAAATAGAAAATTATTTAGTTGATGAATTACACGTTATGTTAAGAATTACCGATAGACTTTGGAGCTTAGTAATATATGAGGTAATTGAATCAGGATTTTTTGATATAGCACGTGAAGTTATTATTAAAGAAATGCAGCGTATTGGTGTTCGCTTTCAATTTTGGCAAGAAAGAGATTCCAACAAATGGTCATATACTTCGCTTATGGAACAAGAAAAACTTAAAGTATTACGTAATTTTAACTTAGAAACAATTCTAGAACCTACTCGAGCAAAGGTGATAAGAAAATTATGGGATGATTTCAATGATCTTTATAGTGCTTTAAAAAATGAATATACTGATCCTATAGAATTTCAATCAGCTGCTAAAGCATGGCTTAATTATTTTCTTACTCCTTCAATTGGAAATCCTGAAGATTCTGATTTTATTAAAGGCCTTTATCGACCTGTTGATATCACTCCATATATGCATGTATTAGTATGGCACATATGGGAATTTATGGAAAAATATAATAAATGGGGTATTAAATCTTTTTCCTGTTCTCCAGTTGAAAAGAAGAATCATATGCAAGTATCATTTTTTTTTCGCAAAACTATGAAAGATGGAGGCAAGCTTGTTAATTCTAAGGCTGCAATAGTAGAAATTCTTGAAGAAGAAAACAGATCACTTTATGAATTATCTGATAATATTTCTTTTATTTGTGATAGACCTCAAAAAATTAGAATTATCAATAAAAAAATTAAACCTAATAGAGTTCAAATTTAAAATAAAATTTCACATTTTATTTTTCTAAACAAACCAATATTTAAATTTCCAAATGATCAATTTAGACTTCTAATTTGAGATATATAAAAATTCATAGTAATATGTCCAGCATAACAAAAATTATCATTAATTTCATGATCCTTTCTTTCCCTCCACTCAATAATAACTTCCCCTCTTTTGTAACAAGATTTTCTTTTTATATTTTTCTTGCCAAATGCTCTTTGATTAGCAAGTACAACTAAAGGATTAGTTTCGCTTGTTTTTACTCTATTGTGTTCAGAAGAAAAATTACGCGATCCATTTGATTGATCTAGTAAGACTATGTATGTTTTTTGTCCTTGGTCATAATGTTTTATTGACCATTGTTCGTCATTAAAAATATAATTTAATTGTTTTTTCCCCCAACTCCCTTGAAAAAAACATTTGTAAATACCTCTCTTGGCTTGAAAAGAATGAATAAATCCACGAAAAATTGAAAAAAACTGACTCTTTGTACAGGGAAAAGAAACCGTTTGACGCCCAGCCTTGGTATGATTTTTGCTTAATTTTTTATGAATATAATATACAAAAATTTCCTGAAATTCTTTAATAGTTTGTGACAGCAACATGTCAATATGTTCTGTAAGTCTATTATATTTACTGATAGTTTTGCGATGTAGTAACAAGCCACGTTCTGAATGAAATGAGCGAAGGCATACTTTACAAAGAAAATTTGGCAGAGAAGGTGGTTGGGTAGAAGAGGAAAGATCACTAGAACTTGACTCCATTACGTGTTAACTAGAAATATAAAAAAAATTTATTAATATTAACGTTAAATATACTCTACAGAACATTCTTATTATTATATTAACGCTAAATACACCTTACCCAAACTAAAATATTGTCTAATTAGCCAATTCCTTTTGTATTTATGAGTTTTGACTAAGAAAATTATAAAAAACATATTAATACGTGTAATACAAACAACAGACTCTAAAAACAAAATAAAGCGAAATTGCACTAAGTATAATTTAAAATACCTTAATGGACATTGCCTCATTAAAAAGGTTGGATGGGTTTTGAAAAGCGTCGATGGGTTAGACGCGGTTTTTACTATGTAAATTTTTTTTAGTACACGGGCATTATTTTTATTGTTATTTAGTTTATCGATCACTCGTGTTTGTTACACCAAAAATCATATGAATAAATCCATTTTAGGGACCGCAAATTTGGCCCAATTCTAAGGATCCACGGATATGATGTGCGATATCGGCCTAATCACAAACATAGTGAAACCACTATATTGTAGGCCCTTATTGAGGAATTTTTTTGTCGATCATTTTGACGATCATTAAATTGAAAGAAGTTTACTAAGTTTTGAATTATTTTAAATGATTTGCAACATTTAAATAGTATCAATAGGCTATAATACATTATTTTGAGTATCTTTGAGAAAGTTTCAGCTAAAAATTCACTCTGCATTATGCATTTTTTAAGTGATAGTGTTTTACTCTTTGAGACATGAAACATACTCTGTTGGCACTGTAGTAAGTAGATGCTAGCCTCCAAAAACAACTTTTTTGGAAATTTTAAATGTCGTATTTTAATGAAATAGAGCCGGTTTTTGAACAATAAAATAAAAAAAATAAAGTTTACATTGCTGTGAAATATTACAACGTGATTTTTACAACTAAATTTATATGTACTCAAGAAATCCGGCTCTATTAGTATGTGTACGCTTGATTTTAATATCATAAACAGTTGCTAAAAATGGAGAGTTAAACATGCATATAAAGTTATGGGCAATTTAGTTTTACTAGTAATTTATTATATTTTAATAAAAATCTATAGTAATGATCACTATAGTAATGCATTATATTTGTAAATTAACCGATAACCTGATTTTAAATAGAAAATTTTAAATCCAAAACTCTTTTTTTAAATTTTTTAAATGATTTAAATCCAAGATTCTAAAATATTAATAAATTATAAAATGATCGACAGATGATCGACAAGAAAAATCCTTAATAAGGATGTTTACTATAATAATTGCACTATATTTGTGATTAGACTAATATCGCACACCCTAATAAATTCCGGCTGAAATTAAATGATCGGCGAAAAATTTCCTTTTTAGGATTATTGTAAAACCCAAAATTTCATTTTTGCTGGGAAACAAAATTGCCTTTTTTTGGATTTGTGTAACATTACTCATACCCTAAAAGGATAATTCCATGCCGATTACTTAATTTTGGCCGGAATTATAATCAATCTGGTCAATCTGCGGATAATCCGATGATCCGATTTTTTTAATCCGGATTGATCCGTCACGTGATCATCCGGATGACGGATTGACCAGATTCATCCAGAGCGCACCTCTACCTTAGTTCTCTCTGTCTCAGTGGTCACTACTATACCATTGGGGGATTCACAACTGTACCTTAAGGCTAAGGAATCGTAGGCTGTAGTGGCCTTGAGTGAGCCTTAGTTCAGTTCTGAAGTGTAAATGTTAGTACGGAAAGGTTTCTAAATGATTGCCATTACACCTGCACTGAAAGTCCTTCATTACTAAAACATGCTAGGGTGGCATATAAATTCGAGCTTGTTTTGCCTCTAGTATAGATATAGGATAAATAGAGGGTTATAGCTAGCCAGTTAGTATTCCGTTGATGGATAGGAACTATCCTGAGGTCAAACTAAAATGGCAGTTATAGTGATAAAAAGGTTTGGCCTACTGACACCAGTTGGATGGTAGTCATTGGTTAACATTGGACTACCAAGCTATAAATAGGTTCTTAAATGTGAACCTTTACCTTAAGTCAAAGACAGACAAATAAGCCCATATGCATCTTTATTTTATCACTTCAATTTTACTGATTATTTATCAATCATTCACAATTTTATTACTAGTGCTGTATTATTATTTATGAAAGTAAATATTGTATTATTTTTTTCATTAATCATATATAATGTAAAGAATATCTATGCAAAGTTTTAAACGTCTGCCATGTATATTCATTTTCTGCTATCAATTTTTAGTGTAATTATTAGAATTCAGAAATATATATAAAAGAGTCAAGTTTGAGTTTGCTTATTTATATAGTAGATAAATTACAATAATATTAAAAGTTATATTAAATAATATGGATACATCAAATATTGTTAAAACTTGAAAAATTTGTTGAGTAAAAGGTATTTCTCAAAAAGAAAATTTAGTAGTTCTTTTTAATAATGGATTACATATTTGTATAATCCAGTGTAAAAGATTTGTACCTCAAAAAAACGCCAATAAAAAATTTTTTTTATTAATAAACATTTTTTTTTTATATAAATTTCATCAGTATATATTCAGAAATATTATAATAACATTATTATACTAAATCATGCATTATCATCAGATTTACTATAATTATCAGGTTTTTTATCAATTAATTATTATATATCTTTGTTAGCCTTAAAATATATATTGGTATTTTAGATACTTTACTTTAAAATTTAATTATAAATTTTAAATTAATTTTATTTTTTTAAATGCATTTAAAAATGTATTTTAAATAGACAACAATTTTAAGTGTAAACTTAATTTTGTAATTTCATGTTTACAACTACTCAAATACCTTTAATTGGCTGGAGTTTGTAGTGATAAGTTATATAAAAAACTTTATAATCATATTGTTTTGCTATTTTAATACAAAAAAATGATAACTTTTTCTTGTGTATTTATACCAGCTACAATAGTTCTGGCTTTTATATTCATTAGAAAAGTTTCTTATTTTTCTGTGATTGAAGTTAAAATAGGCCATCCAAGTGTTTTATGTGGCATAAATGTGTTATTACTGCATTTATTTAAGTCTAACATAATACTTCCAATTGTATTCTTAGTACATTCAGTGTCATAGCAACTCACTTGCGTAATTTAAGTTTTAAATAACTTTCTTCTGTAAAATTAGTTTTAGAAGGATAATTATGCATGCTTAATATTATTAATTTTTTATTGTCAACTAGCAGTTCACCCCTTTGTTTTGAGGAAGAAGAAAGCACTGCTATCCACAGGTAAATGAAAGGTTTGGAAGGTTTGAAGAAAAAAATTTTCATTTTTCAACAATTTGTTATATATGTTGTGCCTCAGATCGATTCTTGCCTCAGATTGAAGCTCACGCACCTCACATTGAGATTGTCACCTGACGCACCTCATTTGAATCATTCAATAAAGTCTGTTATAAGTAAACTTTTTTTCTCATTAATTAACCCACTTTTTGTAACATAAACAAACTTGTGCGCCATAATGAGTTACATGTTTCCTGAAATTTTTATGTAAATCTGATTTATATTGAAGTTTATATTTGTGTTTTATCTGAAAAATCATTAAATTTTGAGTCATTTTTCAAATGAAAATATTTAATAAGTATGATTCCAATTAATCTGAAATTATAGGATTGTATGCTTAAAATAATGATAAATAAGTTTACTTAGTACTTAAAAATATATTAAAATTGGAAAATTTGATGTTTAATTATAGCTCATTTATATTAGCAATTGAGGTACGTCAGATGACAATCTCAATCTGAGGTGCGTGAGCTTCAATCTGAGGCAAGAATCGATCTGAGGCATAACATATATATCCTATAAAAATTTTATCTGTTATTTCTGTAAAATCTCAATGAAAATGAGCCTTTTATGGATTCATTCACAAAAAATGCAAATAATTCAATAAATTCCATGATATAAAGTTATTAATTCTGGAAATATAAGCTTTTTATGGAAAAATTATAAAATAAAAAAAAATAGATTGACTTTTTTTACAAGAATATTTTTTTTTTTTTAAAAAAAAAATGTTGAATCATGTATCATTTTATTAGAATATATTTGGATTACATAATAATCACAACTATTCTGTAAATGATACTTCCAACTTCTGACTAGTCTGATCAAACATTAACTATTATATCACAAATAAATTAAGAATAAAATTAAATAGTAAAAGTAAATCAAAATAAAATACTATAAACTAAAAATTAAACCAAAATAAAATATTATAAACTAATATTAATTATCTGTTCAAGTAATGCCTTTTCTCTTTTCCCATAAAATAACTTGTTCACATCTTGGTTTCTATATTAATTCTTTAAATGCTAAAATAAACCGTATTAAAATATTGGCTATAAGTATTTGTGCCTCAGTAAGAGATATCTTAAAATCTTTTTGTAATTTTGTTGTTAAAAAAATTTTAACTTTCACTTTCACTTCCAATGCCAAGTATTAGAACTTTTGGAATTTTTCTGATCTTGCTGTAACAGAACTCCGCTTACTTCTAATAGAGATCACCCACAAGTAAACATGGGGCCTGAAACCTCTGAAAGGATTTCTGAAAGTTTCGGATTTTGGAATATACGAATTGAAACCTCATCCAAAACCCTAAACAAGTTCCGAAATCCTAAATAAATCCTGGAACCCGAAACTAATTTTAGTTATCTTGAAACTAATCCCGATATCCAGAAACTCGTTAATTGGATAATCACGTGGCAATTTAAATAATTAATAAATCGATATTCAATATATCATGTTTGATAACCATCTTTACTTTTTACATTCAAGCCTTTAGCTGTCTCACATTAATTCACCTAATATAGTTTTTCTTTTAATTTTATTAATTTTCATTCTTCTTTTAATATAAATATCACTTCCCTAGTATAGTTTCTACCCCTTACTATGTTATGGACTAGCAGGCCATACCTTCTCGTCTTAGGAATAACTGAAAAGGTGGGCGGCTTCTCAAGTGGGAGTTTCATACAATTATATATTTTGATTAGTATTCATATTTTATTATGTAATGTCTTAAATCTCTTGTATGACAGTCTATCTATAACATAAAAATAAAAAATAAAAATAAAAATGTTTGGACTTAATTGAGAAGTCTTTTTAATAAAATGTCAGATAGTAATTCAATATTGTTATAATTTTAGTTATTTTAATAAAAATTAATTAAGTAAATTAATAGGTTTCGGTTATATTTCGGTATATAAAAGTTTTGGAAATTTTGGGTCAGTTTCAGGTTTCGAGTTTTGGGAAAAAAACACCCATCCTGAAACTAAGTTTTGGTATATACCGAAACCTAAAGGGTTTCAGAAGGTTTCGATTTCGGGCCCCATGTTTACCCATAAGCCTAAGGTAAAAATTACATAGAAAAGTCAAAAAAACTGGTTGAATTCATAAGGTAAAATTCTTTATAAATTAAAAAAAGTAAATGTAATTCTGTAGTAAGTTTTTTTTATGTAACTGTTAAGTATATGGTAAAATTAAACAGGATTTTAAAATGTAACTTGTAATTATAAGGTAAAATTTATGATTTTGTAAAATTTATTACTAGTATATACTATTTTTAGCACAAAGTTTATTACACAGACACGTAAAATTTATTATACTATTTTTAATTACAAGTTTATTAGTACAAGTTTATTACACAGATACGTAAAATTTTATTACACAAATATGTAAAATTTATTATATACTATTTTTAGTTATAAGTTTATTACACAGACACGTAAAATTTTATTACACAAACATGTAAAATTTATTATATTATTTTTAGCATAAGTTTATTACACGGATACGATAAAATTTTATTACACAAATACAGATACGTACAAATTTATTACACAAACACATAAAATTAAAAAAATAAAAGAATTTTTTATGGATATCCGTGTAATATAAAAAATTATAAAATAAAGTAAAGATCAGAAGGGTGGGTGATTGGGGGCGGTAGGTAGGATAAATTAGTTATTTTTTTTTATTTTTTTTTTTGTCAAATAATAATATATATATTTGTAATTATTGATCAATTTTGAACTTATTTTAAATAGTTGTAAGGAACTTTTTTACATTTTTTTAAAATAATTATATCTAAAAATTAGGCCAATTTTAAAAGAAATAAAAAGTACTAAATGTATAAAATAAATTATATTTTATATAATCTATAATTATAAATGTTACTGAACTTGTAAGGTAAAAATATATGTAATTTAAAAATGTAACTGGAAAGGTGGTAAAATTACTTAGTAGAAGGAAAATTAGGAGTAAGGTAAATTTACATATAAATCTTAAAAATTTTACGGTGAGCTCTATTAGAAGATAGCGGGTCTTGCTGTAACTTCTAATATATCTTGTAATACATTTCTAATAAAATCTTCACCTTAACATTTAATTTGCTTTTGTTTTAAACATATAATTATAGATTTTTCTGTTGTAATCTCCAAAATTTTTTGCCAAATCAATTTATATGCTTGGCATTCTAATAAGTGATTCCAATTTTCCTTCTTGTTACAGTTCATAATACATTTTATCTCCTTATAAAGCTTTGGCTTTCTTAATGCTAGAATGGATCCTAAAGGAAGGATTTTATGAAATAGTTTTGCTATAAAAGTCTACAAATAGTTAGTTTGCATACTAGTGCAGTGAAACCATTTGCAATAATGGAAAATAAGCCAAGTAATTTTTCAGTCTATCTGATTAATATTTGCATAATATAATTTCTGATTATTTTTTAGTAATGACCATTCAGTAGCTTCATATGTAGCTAATATTTTCAAAATAAATCACCTAATATTAACTTTAATAGGATTATCTATAAAAACAGAAAAATAGAATAGTATATTATCAATAAAATTTTTTTACAAGAATATCAAATCTGATAATTATAAATTGCATTTACCAGTTTGATGGTAATATCTAAAAAAATGAACTAAATATTGCTAATTGAAAAATTTATAGAATTTATTCAACTGTTTAAACCTTTTCAAATTTTATAATTAGTTTTACCAAAATTTTACTATAATTTTATTAAGTTTTAGCAGTTTTAGTATTTATAACTGTAAGTTTTATTAAGTCCAGAATTTCACATATAGTTTTAATAAAATTTTACTATTTAGTATTTTACCAACTTGCCAAAACTTTTTTATTTTTTCTGGCAACTTTAATAAAATGTATAGAAATATTAGTTTTTAAAAATAATTAGCATATTTTGCTGTAAGCACCCCTTTTGCACTTAATGCCGGCCGAGATCCTTATAATTCTGACCAAAATCGCCATAATTCCAAACCGCAAAATATGGTATCATTATTTTGTACTTTTTGCTTTATTTTCTTATTTGTAAATTTGCATCAGAATTTACGAGATTCCTTAATGTACAGTGGGATGTACGATATTAATGTACGAACTGGCCGGAGTTAACGTTAACGCTATCACGTGCAAGTGCATAACTCCTAAACTCGGGCCAGTTTGTACGTTAATATTGTACACCCCTACTGTACGTTAAGGACGCCCCAGAATTTACTGGTCATTTTGAACTATTATATTACATTTATTATTTCTACTAAATATTAATAATTTATGCTTTTTTTTTATTTAATCTTTATTTTATTTTATTTATTTTATAATAAGGTATTATTTTAATGAAAATTGTATTTATAGAATTTGCTCAAATAAAATAATATACCGAATAACCAATTATGCAAGTAACCTAGGACTTTGATTTTCGACTGTTTGATATTTATATATTATTTGTCACGCATCATTTGTCACCAGGTAATAGTAAATTAAGAACACGTGATTTTTACGAAAACATTTAAAGCTGAATTAAATCCGTTTATTCAATAAACTTTGGGAGAATGCAAAATAAACTCCTCAGTAATCTGCAGCCCAACCATTTTTGTTTAGGTAATCTTCAATTGCCTCTTTAAGTGCTAAATTAGGATACAAATCAGCTTCCCTACATTCGAGTCTTGACAACGGATCAAAATGTCCAATTTTTTTGAAATGTTCTTTCAAATGAGTTCTCTCATAAGTGATTCCCGATGGTGTAATAACCGGATCATACATAATATTGAAAGATATTTTATCCAGAAAATAATCAGGAACTTCTTTTGGACCACGATTTTCTTCTGATTGAGCAAAAACCTGTTCAATTTGAGAAAGCTTTTCATCATACGACTTATTAATTTGATCTAACTTATCTTGAATTTCCGTTGAATGTAAATTAACTAATTTGGAAATTGTAGAGCCAAATGAATTTTTACTTTGATTAACCTTTTGAAGTTGTTTCTCTCTTTCTGTATTAATTAATCCTTTGATATATTTCAAAAATTCTGATTCATTCTTTCGTAGTCGTTGTTCCTCAAGTTCCCATTTTCTTTTTTTCGCACTCAATAAAGCTTGAATTATTTCTCCAGAAAATGTCACTTTATCTTTAATAGCAAGATCATAAGCCGTCTGTAAATGTGAAATTGCTAAATCAAATTCTGCTTTTTCTGTTAAGGCTTGTCCTAACATATAATGTCCTTTAACCGAATTCGCATCAATACTAATAGCAGTCTTACAATCTGATATCACGTTATCATACTTTTTTAACCTCAAATAACATAATGCACGATTTGTATAGTAAACTACATTCCTCGGATTCAGATTTATAGCTTCTGAATATTCTCTCGTGGCACTGTCATAATCCTTTTTACTAAAATAAGTATTCCCTTTGACCTTATGAGATTCCGCTCGTTCTACCGACATTTTGAAAAAGTTCAGACAAAAAAAAAAAATTATTATTAATCTACAAAGTTTGTGCCGTAAATACCAAAGCGTTTTTTGATAGATTATAATTTAGAAAGAGTGGCAGTGAAAGTTGAAGTAACTTACACAACATGTGGAATATTTATTTATATTGTTTAAAGTAATGTGATTTTAAAGATCAAAACGTTATACAATGACTTACCTCGTGTTATCCTTATGTGTAGAATAAAAATAAATTAAGGGTCTCAAACACAAACTAAAAATCCGTATTTATAAGGATTGACCGAGAAACTTTCACTGTTTACGCCGTAGTTCTTGAGATTTTTTATAAATTTTAAATAGATTGTTTTTATTAAGCCTTATATTTTTTGTTTTGACGTTTGAAGTTAGAATCATTCATATCTCACAGCGATGCAAAAGCTCGCTCTACGCATCTTAGGTCGTTTTAGCCGAAAAACATTCATTCGTAGTGCTTGGAAAAATTTAAATAGTTTAAGCGAACACGATGAACTGACCGAGGCGTTAGATACGTTAATATCCATGTCCCATGAAGGTATTTATTGTCAATAGTTGAGCAATTACAAAACCTTGATAATTTTAAAGTTTATATATCTTAATATTATCATGAACAAATCATTCCTTACAATTTCTTTTATTTAATTATTGTCTGTAACTTGTTAATTTCACAACGGAAATATCAAACTATTTATATTATAGAGAATGAATTCATTGAACTCATTACTGTCATTGTGGATGTTCTTTCAGAAGCTCCAATGGCTTCGGCTTTTTTATGTCACATTATTGGTAAGAAATTAAAAGTCATTTTTTTTATCGAGATTTAATTAATTATTAAATATTTAATTGATGATATATAGATAGTGCAGCTTTACCTTCAAAAGAAACCTCTCATAAAATTACTACAAGGCTACTGCAAAAACTTAAGCCTGGTTAGTTGATAATCTTTGATCCATCAATATATTCAAATTTAATTCTATACGAGGATGTTCTAATGGTAATATTAAGTAGGGCTATTATTTTATCTTAAATCTTTAGGTGGCATATATCGAACGAAACCAAAAAAGCGTACACGTGTAAATGCAGCTATAATTTGGAGTGTTTTAGCTGAAAAATTAGCAGGTTAATATCAAATTAACTTCCTTATTAGAATTTTTTTTTTTTTTTTTTGGAGAACGTAAATATTTACTTTCTAAATTTCTAGGCGAAATAAGTTTATCTTTATTTTCAGATAATGTATGTACTACGCTACTGGACTATCTCCAATATGATCGTGATGCTAGTGTGCGACTTTTCGCTTTAATTGCTCTTGAAAAATTTGGTATGACGGGACAAAATAAAGAAAAGATACTTAATTCGGGAAGGGATATTCATAAGATTTTGCAATGCATAGCCAAGGAATTGCATTCAGATGAAGGATCAAGTGAAGATGTTAATCGTCGCAGACAATTAAAATTCTGTGTAGAATGGGCCTTAAAGAATACTTTTGGTATGTTATTTTATCAAAAAAATTTTTAAGCTTTTGTAAATTAATTGTCAAACATAATAATTTTTTTTAACCTTTTAAGATTCAGGCAAGGTATGATGAGTTTCGATTCTAATTTAATAAAAAAAGGAGTATCATTTATATAGGTTTTATATTCTATAAACTATTAGGAAGACATGTATGACTCAGATGAAAGTCCTGTAAGTTCTAATAGTATAAATGTTATGTTGAACCCAGTGGATGCTACAGCTCACTGGAAAATATCACGAAATGGTTTAGAGGTAAATAATTTACCACTTATTTAGTCGTTTTAATTAATAAACTAATTATAGCATGCGAACCTTGCAGATAAGAAATGACAATTCCACATTCGAATCCATACGGGCGACAATGGGAGTATCTTCAGGAAAATGGTTTTACGAAGTAATATTATTGACTAATGGAATTATGCAGGTTTGTATAGGTACAATATTGTTAGTATTTTAAAGAAAAATAGTTAAAAAATATCCTTAAATTTTAATTAGATTGGATATGCGACTAAACGTTGTATGTTTGGACCTGAAGATGGTACAGGTGTTGGGGACGATCCGGTCAGTTCCGCTTTTTGGATTATTATGAATATTCCTTATAAACTTTGCTTGCTAATATTTGAAATAAATTTGAATTTGAATCAATAGTTTGGATTTGCATTTGACGGATGTAGAAATGTTTTATGGGTAAGTTTTCTCAATAATTATGTCATGAAAAAAATTCACCTTATTTATCATTCGTTCATTTTTAGGCAAACGGAGTATCTGTACCATACGGAGGAAGCGAGTCGTGGAAACCCGGTAATTATTCCCTGAATAATATATAATGTCAAGTAGTTTGTTATTAATTTTTATTATAAATAATTTTAGGTGATGTGGTTGGAGTTTATATGGATGTTAGCTCTGGTTGCGTTCGTTTCTATTTAAATGGAAAGGATTTGGGTGTAGTTTATCCACTCAATATCGCCCAATTTCGAAAGTTGGCAGAAAGTAGTTTACATCCAGCATTATCTTTTACTTCTTATCAACAAGCTATAGTCAATTTTGGAGCTGAAAAATTCCGGTAATATTGCTAAATAATTGAATAAGTATTAGCTGATGGAATATTAATTTAATTAGCCTTTGATATTTACTATAGATATCCACCGCCATCATCATCATTTACCTATCAAACCCTCAACAGCCAAGGGCAAATATCATCAGAACTCCGTAACTCAATACAAAAAAGAGTTTGGCGAGCATCACGTTATCGTTCGGTGTCTGTAAGTCCTTATTGGAAACAGCAGTTCGAGTCTACGGAAGAAGACTTTGACACTCAGTGTTCTATTTGTTTTGCGAAGCCACCTGCTGTTGTATTGGGACCATGTAACCATGATGGTTTTTGTTCTGATTGTTCAAAAATGATGCACTCGTGGTATGTATTATAATCCTTCAACTAAGATTAAAATATAGTGACTGATAAATTATTTATTATTTTTATATAAATAAAGTCCATTATGTAGAACTCCGATTTCACATCGGAAACCAATGAATAATAATATCACTAGTTTACCATCTACTCCTACCAAACTTTCTATTGCGTCAACGTCGGCATCATCTTCGCTTTCAGCACCTTCAACAGCAATTGTTTTACCACCGACTCCACCTCATTCGCGTCCTGCTTCATCCATTACTTCATGGGAGCCTCGTTGTCTGGAGCCATAAAATAAAGATAATTTTACCTTTAATTATATTTTTCTAAATGAAATATATATATATATAAAAAATTTTTTTGGTTTAAGCGATGTAAATAATTTGTGTATTGAATATTTTTTTTTCTCTATATTTTGGTTATTAATAGATATTAACATTCTTATTTTGCTTTCCCCTCATACTATGTATTTATTACTATTACAACCTTTATTCTCGACTTGCAGTTTTACAACAATCAAAGATCGAAAAAAAAACAAAATAAAAAAAATCAGTACGAGTTAATTATTCAGAAAAAAAGTAATTTATTAATTATTGGAAAGATTTATATTATAGCTTTTTTATCTATATTCTTTGTATATAATATCGTAGAAAAATTTTCATGGTAATTACAGTAATAAACTTTAATAGTTTCTTTGAAATGTTTTTCTAATGGTTTTAGAAAAAAAAAGTATGTGATATCTATCTAGCAGTAACTATAACAGAAAGAGTTAGATTAATTTCATTAAAGAAGAAAAAACAATTTAGTAAAGTTTATACCCCATGTCCTGCGATCCATTGGACATTGTCCACGACTTCCTTCCGTTTGGAGCCACCTTAATAAACAATGCATATGAAACACGTGTGTACACTCTCCCCAAACTATATTGTAAAATAGATCTATCAATATTAATGTTACTTTAAGAATAATACATTAAGAAATTACAAACTTAGCGAACAATCGTCTCCAGGAGTTTTACAGGTAGGACAACAACCGTCAAAGGGCACTCTACATATTCCACAAACTTCCTCGTTAGGTACATCCCACCTCCAAACTGCAACTCCATGCCAACTATAACAAAACAATATTTTAAATACGGTTTAATTCTGAAATATAATTTATTAATGTTTAACGCACCGTTTCACTTTAACTCTCATTTTTTTTTTCAAGGGTAAAGTTTGGATCTAAAAATCAGAATGTACCGTATTCCAGGGCCCCGCAAAAAATTCATTGGCTGAATATTGTGTAGCATGATTAGTACTTAATATTTTAGTAGATGAAAAACTAGAGAATGTTATTCTTAAGATGACGAAACGTTTCTCGAGTGCAGTTAACTCGAAGATTAAATCTAAACGTAAAATTTCTAGGAATGATCAAACTAAAAAGAAATCCCAATATGTATCAAGTGAAAATGAAAGGATTCCGAATGAACAAAATGGTCAATTTTCTTTTAATATAAGTAATTTAGTTGCTACTAATCAAGAAGAAATTAACAGTGGCTCTTTCCCTTCATATGAACCTCCTTCTGGCTGGAAAAAACTGGAATCAAATGATTTTTCAATGTTTGATTTTGAAAATGTTCATAAGGAAGAAAAGGAATTATGGTTATTTAAAATTCCTCCAACTGTCTCTAAAACGGATCTTCAAGGGCTGACGCTGAAACTTCCTATTGGATTATCTCGGGTTCCAACAAAAGTAGCGACAATACAAAAGGAATCTGAATTAATGGAGTATCATGTCTACGAAATGCCTAATGATAATGATATTTCTCAGGAAAATGAAATAGTTAAAGAATTTATCCAAGAATTGAGATCCCCACACGAAACGGTCTTTGGACAAATGAAAGAATTAGAAATATTTTTACCATGTAAAGAAGCGCAAGGTTTACTTCTTTCACACAAAAGACCTACTCGCTATTTTAATATATGCCGGCCTGCTAACTCACCTGATCCAAGTCCAAATGTTGATTCAATTTTAGCACACAAACTAGGGCCTATTCCTCACCCGTCAGAAACATTTATTCAAAGGTATACAGTCTCATTTCCTGATTACTCTCAAAGACACATGATCGAAGCAAGAGAAGCCAAAAAAAAATTTAGGAATAGAATGATGAATGACTGGAATTTTCCAAAGTGGGAACAACAAATAAAACATCATGAGAAAATAGTAGAAAGAACTTATAAGGAATATCAAAAAAAATGCAAAATAGTAGTAAACAAATCGAAAAAAAAGTTTACTAAAGAAGCCGAAGAAAAACAGAGTACAGAAAAAACAAAAGGAGAAAAAAGGAAATCTTCAAATAATAGTACAGAAGATGATTTTGATATTTCAACATCATCATCGAGTAGTGAAAATGAGGAGAAACCATACAAAAAAACAAGAATATTGGCTGATCTTAAACGTCAATTTAAACGCAAGAAAGTTGAAGAATCAGATATAGATTCAGAAATATTAGAAGAAGTTGCAGAAGAAGAAGCTGCTCTCGTAAAACTCGCTAAAAATCAGATATATAGAAGGAAACAAGCAGTTAAAGAAGCACAAGAGGCTGAAAAGAGAGCAGCAAAAACTTGGAGTCCTGCTCTAGTTAGTTACCCGATTTACAAGCCACCTGAAACTTGGTGGTATAAAACTTATAATAAAATTCTTAACGAAACAGAACAAACTAAACTTAGGCCGAAATTGACTAAAAGGAAATATACATTAGAAGAAAGACTAAAATATTATAAAAGAAATGGCCGTGAACCACCGTTGTATGTGGTACCGAAAACGAGAGGCAAAAGGATTGAAATAAATTACGATGGGATTGAAGAAAATTTCGGATTTCCTAAACCAAGGCAAAAAAAAGTATTGCCACCTCCACCGCCCGGGACGACAGGTCACCTTCGACCTTGTGTCAAAGTTGTCGATTCCTAACATTTATGATAATTCTACCAATAATCTTTTTATTTCCAAATTTAACATGTAATTTAGTTCGATTATTGTGCAAATCTTTTCTCTATATGGAAAAATCATGATAAATTTACGCCGGTCAAATGTTTTGTACATCCAATTTACAAGGACAAGGAGAAAAATAAAGACAAATTTTAATTTTTTTAATTTTTCTTTCTTTCTTTTCTTATAATAATCTGTATATAGTCCTTGTTGCTCAATTCTTTTTTTTTTTCGGACCATAATATTGTCGGCATTATTGCCGTGTAACTCTTGGATACCCAAGACGTTATCCCCATTTCTTGCTTTAAAGGAAGAAGTCATATCATGCTTGTTATTTAATAATTTCGCAATATATACAAACTAAAATTTTCTTATCCTACAGTTTAATTATTTAAAATTGTACTAACTTAGTTCGGTTCTAATATTCGTGATATCTTAAAGCTTTTTGACAAGGCAAATACTTTCTTTAAATCTATGGCTGATATTGAATATAACGTGCAAACCAGCGAATTACCACCTCCTGTTCCTCCAAAAGACGATTTTCGTCCAACGACACCTCCAAAAGATTTTCCGAGGATAACCTTTTTGGGTTCTGCAACAATAGGTCCTTCTACATCTCAAACTTTTGAACTTGAAGAATCATTTTCTGAACCTTCAAATACTTTTCCAGGTGCAAAACGAGTAAATAAAGTTTCGACAACAAATTTGGGCTCTGTGTTTGTTACCGCTTCAGATAATCAATCTTCGAATAATGAACCCCGTAAAAACTCTGTTCGTTCAGATTCAATGTTTACAAAGCTCTCCTGGTGGTTAAGCTGGGGAAGATCAAATTCTTCGACAAATTCGCATCCAATAACAACGCCTATCACAAACACTGGCGCTGGCGCTGATTCAACAAATAATACTACAAATTCAACATCTAATAATCAAAATTCTACCGCCTCAATATCAACAATGAGATCATCGTCACCATCATCACCATACGTAAATCAAGTATCAATCGATAATAATGATGAAAGCGCTCCAAAAGTAAAAAAATCAATTAGTATAGCAAGTCTATTTCGTAGATTTAGTTATAAGAGAAAAACGGAAAGAAAAGAAAATAGCAGTTCAACAGTAGTTGATGAAGCGACCCAACATGACTCCAATAACTTTTCGACTGCTCCAACTCCAAAATCATCGCGTCGAAAATATAGTTTTGGCTCACTTATTGAAAGACTTACAGGTCGACAATTTTCATTTACATCAGAACAACGCACATCATCTGAAAGCGATAACAAATTCACTGAACAAATATCGCAAACAAATTCTATTGAGAATAACATTGATACAGATCATAATAAAATTAAGAAAACTGATAATAAATTAAAACAAAAAGAACTAATTGTAGAAGGGCAAGATCTCACAGCTTCATCTAACACTTTATGTCCAGATGAATCTTCACTTTCAACACAACGATCAACACAATCAACTGCATCTGAAACTTTGGATTCACGTAGTAAAGATGATGATCTTAAAAATTTGGACTTTATTAATATGGATATTGATGTAGTTTCTCCTTTAAGGCATTCGATTGCCAAGTCATCAAATTCTTCGGAACGTGCTGATGATGACACGATTAAAGGTGTTTCCGGAACAATTCGTATCTTTGATAAATTTACAGCGAAAAAAGACAGTTCCCGAGCAAGTATTTTGAATAATCAAATGACGAATGGCGTTTCTTCACGTCATATCAGAGTAAATTCTAATAATATGAAAGAATCTTTTTTTGTAAATAATAATAATAATTCAACTAATATGATTTCACAGTTCTCTCCACTTAAGAATTCTTCTCCTTTAAGTTCGAATTCACATAAGCCATATAATACTGATAATAATATTAAAAAATCCGAAACGGAAAATAAGAACACAACGCCAAGAGAAGAAGTAATAATTGGCGATAAAACAAAGGTTGATAAATCACCTTTACGTTTGTTTAAGAAAAAATTTTATAAAACTCTTCGACCTTCCAACTCTAATTCTGATTTTGAAGATACTGATAAAAATATCAAAAAAGAAGAAGAAACCTTAAACACAGTTCCAATTATTTCTTCTCCGCTTATTGCAAACTTTTATGAATCTGGGTCAACAAATGACCTTCTTCAGGTGAATAATAACAACTTATATCCTGAGGAAGAATCAGAAGATAGTGATAGTGACAAGGATTTAGATGACATGACATTAGATGATGGAGTTGAAGGAGATGTTTCAGCCACTCAATCACAAGCGCCAGAATCCAGTCTATATACAGGATCTGAGAATGAAGTATCATTTCCGTTGTCTCGTATGTCATCATTTGCTAAATCTTTTAATTCAGAAGACCCATCAGCATTTAGTACGACATTTTCGGATTCACAACTTAATATAGATTGGCCCATGGAATCAGCATGGGATATTATTTTAAATAATGCACCAGCAACAACAAAAGATAGCAAAAGTCCAGCTAGATTCAGTAATAATCGTTTATCATATATTCCTAATCATTTCTTTGAAGGACTTCATAATTTAAAAGAATTGTATCTTGATAGAAATTCACTTCGAGATTTACCCGAAGAACTTTTGAAATTGACGAAATTAGAAATATTAGATTTAAGTAACAATTGTATATCAGAATTTCATCCAAGATTAAAATTTAGAAGGATAAGAAATTTAAGAAGGCTTAATTTGGACAATAATGTATTATCAGATATAACTAGCATAACAAAATTAAAGACTCTTAGAGAATTAAGAGCAAATAACAATTTATTAGGAAGTATAACACCGGACATTTCAAAATTGACTAAATTAAGGCTTTTATATTTGGACAATAATCAATTAACAAGCCTTCCAGATTCAATCGGACGGTTAAAATCTTTATGTGTATTAAGATTAAACAATAATAATATTGAAAGTTTACCGGATGCGATTTGTTCATTGCATCAGTTACAAGTTTTGGAATTAAGAGCAAATTTGTTAAGTTCGTTACCAGAAAATATAAAAGAATTGGAGAATTTAGCTAAATTGGACATTTCCAATAACAAACTTACATTACTTCCTAATGAATTGGTAAAATGTAATAGGTTAACACATTTAAATGCTCATAACAATTTACTTGAATCAATTCCAGCTAAATTTGGACAACTCTCGAGATTATTAACATTAAATTTATGTGAAAATCGATTAATTAATTTACCGGCCGACATTGGAAAATTAACATCATTAACAGAATTAGATTTATCACACAATGAATTTATTGTTTTACCTGAAGATTTAGGAAAATTAACAAAACTAACGGAAATTAAACTTAATAATAATCCATCATTATTAGCAATACCTGACTCATTCCAAAAACTTGTCCTTGTAAGAAAAATTCATTTGCAACATTGTAGTCTCAGTCAAATTCCATTTGAAATGGGACTTGTTTATAATCAACTATCTTATGTTAATTTGTCTTATAATCATTTTGATACTATGCCAAATCTTCAAGGGATGGATCATGTAATAAGTTTTAATATTTCAAACAATCGTATTAATGATATAACTGAACAAATTGATCAATTGGAGATGTTGCGTGAGTTATATGTTGTTAATAATAAATTAACTCATATTCCAAAAACGATTGGACGTCTCAAAGAACTTGAAATTATGGATGTCTCTGAGAATGTATTAGTGGATTTGCCGTTATCAATCGGAGATTGCATTAATTTGCGTGAATTAAGATTAAGAGGAAATTCAATAGAAACATTACCAATTACATTAGGAAAATTAACCAATTTAAATGTATTTTATGTTGGACAATGGCCATTAAACGGATTTAATGTAACTCAAGATGATAATAGGAATCAAAATGTTAAAATTAGTTCTAAGATTCCTCAGCAAGTTGAAAGAAATCTTTTATGGAGGATGCATGATTCGATACTTAAAAGATTACGAGATATTGACAATAATGACGGAGCTTCAGAATTTTTACAAAGTCCTCCTAATGAATCAAATAATTCGCAGCAAGATGTCACCAGTCATCCCCCATCTCCTTCGCCAAGTCCTCCTTTATCGAGGGATGATGCTATATTGAAAATGACTGTGCTAAAAGGAGTTTATGATCAATTTATGAGAGACATGCGCAATATTGATTATGACAAAGAATCAAGCGGCGATGATATGACTGAATTTCCTAGTGAGATTGGAAAGAAGAAAAAATTTGCTAAATTAAACATAAACAAAATTCTCAAGAAAGGCGACAAACAATAAATATTATTAATATATATATCAATACTTTAGAGTTTAAATTTTATTATATATTATTTTTTTTTTAAAGCTGGGAGAATCATGAATTCTTTGTAATATAGTTTTAATTATTCACAATTAATATTAAAAAAACTGAATTTGTAACTAAAATTACAATTTCCTGCTCAAAACATACGCGTCAGGTGGTGATATTTTCTTATAGTATCCTTCCACCGTGGCAACAATTTCAAAATCATACTTTTTATAAAAGGCCAAAGCTTCTTCATTTGATGTTTGCACATGAAGATAAATTTCGACGAATTTTGGGTGTTGTGTAGTTAATGTGGCATGTTGTAAAATATGCGTTAACAATTTTGTACCTATTCCAAGGTTACGATAAGGAGCCAAAACACCCAATGTCATAATATATAGCTTTGCTTGATCGGATGTTGTACCTTGATTTGTTTCCTTTATTTGTTCTTTACGACAACAAACGGCTCCAATACAACAATCATTGAAATAAGCTACAAATTGATAAGAACTTAATTTATGAATATTAAATAATATAATCGATTGCTTTGTCGTTATTAATTACCGAATTTAGCGAATTCGCCAACTTCCAATACATCTTTATAAAATTTTTCGCTATAATGAACAGGAAAAAGGACAGTATTTAATTTTTTTAATTGACCCAAGTTGTTAGGTGTAATTTCTCCGAGAGCTATACGATGAGTAGTATTTCGTTTAGGTGTTTTGCTATTCTTTATTGCAGTTGAAGTTACCATGCTTAATTAACGCTTTACACTTGAATAATTTGTTGCAGTACATTTTTGTATTTAATTTTGATCTGCAATCAAGTTATCAGGTGTTCTTTTTTTGATGGATAAAAAAAAAAAAAATTTTTTTCAGTTTATTTTTACTCCTAGAAAATAAAAAAACGCGTCTAAATGTCGTCAAATTCTGATGCCAATATCCCAACAGAGCTTTACTCTTTAGTTCTTCAATTTTTAAAAGATGCAGGTCTATCACAAACAGCTAAAATTTTTAAAAAAGAAATAAATAAGGTATAATATAAAATTTTTGTTTAATTTGAAAGCTATAATTTATTTATATTTATATTTTTTTTTATATAGTCAATAAAAGTTGTAAACCAAAAACTTGGCTTAATCGAGGTTTACAAGTCTTACAATTCTCTTTTAGCTGGGTAATTCACGTTTGTCAATATTGCTATTAAAATTCCTTTACTAAAATTTATTGGTTTATCGTTAGTAAAACCATTGAAAAAGTAGAATCTGATGATTCTTCATCGATTTCTGAGAATAGCTCGTAAGTATATCAACTTAATTTATATGGCTTATAATTTCAATGTAAATAATTATCTTTCTATAGTAATCATGAAGAGAACGAGAGTATCAATGAATCATCATCCTCATCTGAAGATGATGATCAAAGTTCAGAGGATGAAGTTTTAATAAAAGAAACTAATTCCAAAAATGAATCTGATAAAGTGGATGAACCTTCTGGTGAGGAATTAAAAAATGATGATGAAATGAAAGATAGTTCAAGTTCTTCAAGCGAAGATGATGACGATTCTTCTGATTCTTCCTCAATTGAAGAGGAAAATAATGGTAATGTTTTAAGTTCTGGTAAAGAATCGGACAGTTCAGATTCTAGTAGTTCAGATTCATCTTCTGAACAAAGTGAAAACGAAGAACAAAGTGTTGGGGCGTCAAATGTAAATGAAGATTCAGATCTTTCCAACGAGTCATCCAGCGAATGTTCATCAAGTAATAGTTTAAGTGAAGATGATGAAGAAAATAGTAAAATGAAAATTCGTTCCGATAACGAATTAGTTTCATCTAGTAGCGAAGAAAGTGATAAGGAACAAGAAAAAGGTTCTAACGTAGCTGATACTCGAGATAACAATAAAACCAACAGTAACAACAGCAACAGTAGTGATAATGAATCAGAGGAAAGTGATAATGAATCTGAAGATGAAAGTAAACCAGGAAATACACAAAACAATATAAATAATATTAAAGAACATAGTGGAGAAAACAAAGATAGATTATTTCATAGTAATGGTAAAATAGCCAGTACTGAAATAGACAAGTCGGAATCAAGTAATTCATCACATAAAATAAATGTTCCTTTAACTAACGGAAATAAATTAAAACATAAACTTGATTCAAATAATGACACTTTGGATGGTAAAGATTATACACGACCTCCTAAAAAACTAAATTCGAATGTGAGGTAATTAAAAAAAAGGAAACAAAAAATATTTTTAAACTAATCCTCTTTTTAAAATAATAGTACTAAATATGTTACGACTAGTGTACATTTTAAACCATTATCAGTGTATAAAAATCAGAAAAAAAATGGTAAATCGAATAAAGTAAGTAATATATTTCAATATTAGTTTTATTAGTTAAGTTTATATTAATCAATTTTTCAATACCGCTAAGCAGACGGAAAACGAAAGTAATAGTAATGGAAATATATATAACCGCAGAATAAATCCGAAAGAAGTGGAATTTCTTGATGAACGATTAAAAGACAACAGCTTTCTGGCTAAAGTATTGTTTGTTAATATTTGTATTTCATGTCCTTAAATTGTTGTTAAAATTTTTATTTATTAATGACATTTAGGACGGTGCTATTGACTCTTATGGTTATAAGGCTCATAATGATTTATTTGCTACCCGAGGTAAAGATTTTCGTGCGCAAAAAACTAAAAAGAAAAGAGGATCTTATCGTGGAGGAAAGATTGATTTTGAGTCTCACTCTATAAAGTTTGCTGTGGATGATTAAAAATTTGTTTTAATATTAATAAATAATACAATTGATTTTCAATCATAAAATTTCAAATATTTATTCGATCTTGAAATACAACAAACATTTAAGCCTTTATATAGAAACTGAGGAAATTAAACTTACTTTTGTATGCCGAGTATACTAAAACATTTCTTTCCTGACAGTTTTCCTCCTTGTTCTTGCGAACGGCCCATTTATATAATCGTTATCAAGCTTTAATATTATAAATATTATACAAGAGTTTCAAGAATAAATTTTATAGCCAATATTTAAAATGAGAAACAGTAAAAATACATCTAACTATTGAAAGATTTATTTAAAGTATTACTAACGCTAAATAAAATTGAAATTATTGATAATAAACTGGATAATAATAATAAACACCATCATTTTCCTGTACACCAGTTGAAGATTGAGACACAAATGAAGAAGATTTAACGGAATTATCATTCGTATCTTTTAATTCTGTGGTTGTTTGAGTCGGATAATAATAATAATACATATTAGGATCGTAATAATAAACCATTCCATTGCTCTCAGTAACATAAGGATTACTTTCAGCAACATAAGAAGCAGGAGGGATAGATGTTAGCGGCGGTAAATTATTTTCAGATAGATTATTTCTTAATCCCTGAGGTAAATTATCCATATAATATGCAATTGGTGTTTCTGGTTTTTGTGGAAAGAAATTATTTGACGTATTTGACGTATTTGACGTATTTGACGAGTCCTCGTTGGAAATGGAAATTTCATCAGAAAGAGCAAGTGCTCTCGGTTGGAAAGGCGGTGCAAAGACAGCTATTACAAACATTTTTTATATATACATATGCATATACATACACACATACTCTATTAATAATGAACTTTTTTTTCAAATGTACAATATACATTATTTTTATTCTAGCTAAACTAATCTTTAAGAATTAGAATCGCTTCGTCTTAATGACGAAAGAAAACATTATTTTATTATAATAATTTATTAAAAACACAAACCTGAAGGTGGAATTTCGCTTGTTCGAGAATTATTTGATATTCCGCTCGCTGGTGAGTCGTTTGTTTGGGTTGGTTGAGTTATCGAGAAAGAAGCTGCTCTTCTAGTTGAATACCTTTTAGATGCCTGGTTAGTTTGAACTTTATCTTTGTCCATCAATGTTGAAGGCAAGGATACAATTGTATCAGATTGATTATTATTAATAGATAACTCATTAAAACTTGATGTAACATTGTTTATTGATTGTGAAATAGGAGTTACGTTATCTTCGATTGCTTTTTTACTTTGAGAATCTAAAATAATTTCCACTCCAGATTCTTCTTCCAATTTTTCGTAGACGTTCTCTTTTTCTTTAATTGGAGATCCCGAATCCGTTCCTTCCTTTGTAAATGAACTTGACGTAATATTTACATGGGATGTAATATCTGTTGATTCTTGTGCTGGTTCCGCTTTTTCAATTTTGTACTCTGCAACTATATTTATATTCTCTTCAATTTTATTTTCACGACTTTCTTGTTGTCCATTATTATGTATAATATGAGAGTCTTTATTGTCCACACTATCATTATTCGAACGTTGTTCTTTAGAATTTTTGTCCTGACTTAAATTATGTTTTCCATCCACCTCACTAACGTCAGCTTGGTTAGAATTAAATGAATGATCTCGGTTTAAACCTGAACGCATATAGTGTCTGCTACTATAACCTCTTCCGCGAAACCCATTCCCGCCTTTCGGCGGAAACGAATTATCTTTTCCTGTGTAAGATTTATTATCATTGAATCGGGATGTTGAACTAACGTTTCCATCGTTTCCATTATATGAATTTTCTGATCTACTTCCACGTACACTTGATTTATGATGTTTAAAATTACTAGAACTACCATTTCCTCTCCTATGATTAGTATCATACTTTGATAAGAACATCCCTCTTGATCTAGATTGTTCTTCAAATGAATTCCTTCTCTTTATAATTGAATTTGAAGGACGCGAATGATTAAACTTTGGAGTTGTAATATTATTATGAAAATGCGATCGACGTCGAGGAGCCTTTTCAGTAAAAATTGAATAATGATAAATAATGTAATAAGGTAAACTATTGTGACTATTGTGAAGGAAAAAAAACAATATAATCTGTTAGTATAAGATATTTATCAAATACCGGAGGAACAAATTCACGGCGATGTTGAATTCTATGTTGAAATTCCTTTCTACGTCTTTCTTCGTCTTCGATCTTCATCAATTCTTCAAATCCGTCATGATCCCATCGATCTCTTGGAGAATTTCCCCATACATTTTTATCTCTACAAATAAGCAATTAAAGAAAACAAAAATTTGATACTCAACCTCTAACAATTTCTTTTAGATTGGCAAATAACATATTTAAATACCTAGAAGCGAATGGTGATTTACGATAATGTGAATCAAAGTCATCTCTAAGCTCATCCTTAATGAACCTATCATCATGTCCCCAGAATTCACCGAGATGAGGCACAAATGCGGGATCTTCTGCTAACTTTTTACGATATTCTTGTCTTGCTAATACTTTTTTTTGCCAACCTGACATTTCGGGAACGTTGACAGAATTCTTAGAATCATCCCGCTTTTCATCTCGTACCTCAATCTCGTTTCCCGAATGACTTTGTAATTCATCTCCGTCTGTTGAACTAATACCATCTTCGCCAGAATCTTTAATAGCAATAGTGGAATTATTTTCTTCCTGTTTGATTTCTAATTGATCTTCAGCCTTCAATTTGTGCTCGGTAGATTTTGGCTGTTCAACTCCTTTTGAAATGTCTTCAATCGAAGCTGTACTTGTATCCTCGACTAAAGAGCTAGTGTCTTTATGAGTAGAGTTTGACTCTTTTTCTTTTGTAAGACTTAACTCTTCTCTCGTAATAGTTGCCTCCTCTTTGACAACACTAGTTTCTTCCTGTATTTCTTCTTCACCTTCACCTTCACTGTGAGTCGCTTCACTTTCTACATCAGAGTCTTCACTCGCTTCTGAATCAGAGATATCGCTAAATTCAAGTACTCCGCGAGTAGCATCAAACTCCTCTTCGTCTTCACTATGAACATCAACAGGAACTTCACGTCTCCTTAAACGTTTAAGCATTTCAGATCAGAACGTGAAAATAGGTATGAAATTATTTAGAAAAAAAGTATTCAGCGATTGACAATAAAAAAAGACCGTTTTAGAAAGATAGGTTTTTAAAAATTGTTTCTTTTCCGGAGTTTGCTGTTTTCTTTTGTCCTTCAGCATATACCATAAAAATATTGATTATGAACCAAATGTACGGCTTATTGGGTACATAGAGATGAGATGCAATTTTGAAATCATGTGAATTCATATTCAATTCCGAGATTTGATTTTTCGGATTTTGATCAGACCGTAAAAATATTCCATTTCTGAAATGAGTTCGGATAAAAACCAAAGCGGTTTTATAAAAAAAGCTGAGAGACGCGCAAAACTTGAAAAATTGGTTGCCGCCGCAAATAACAAGGCAGAACTCAAAGCTCAAGTCAAGTCTTGCGATAAAAGTAACACGAAAAAAACAGAAAAGAAGAGAAAAAGGAATGAAAAGGAGGAATTTTTCTCTACTAGCTCTTCTAATAGTTCACTTAATATAATAAAACAAGATACAGAAAAAAATGGTTATAGTAAGAAAAAAAAGAAGAATGATGCAGTAACCAATGATATGGATGACTCTTCTAAGAAGGATAAAGGCAAAGAAATGGAATTGAATGGGAAAGAGAAGAAAAAGAATAAGAAACATAAAATACGCCGTACTATAAAATTTTCTGAAAAGGGAAAGGCTTCTACATATGATGATGATTCCGTCTTCGAACCGAAAATACCGAAAATGAAAAACACTTCAACTGGAAATTCTTCGACGGACTCGGCTGTTGTGGATGAATTCAATAAAAAAAATGAAATCCAAATTACTGGCGACTTAGTATGTAATCCAATCATGTCATTTACACAATTAAATATAGACGAAAGTATTAAAGGTATTTTGAACAAATTCGAAAGACCAACTCCTATCCAAGCAAGTTGTTGGCCAATTTGTTTAAGCGGCAGGGATGTAATTGGTATTGCCGAAACTGGGTCAGTATATGTAAAGTAAAGAAAAAAAAGAAAAAAAAAGAAATTAAAATTTAATAATTGATCAGATTTCTGTAATGTTTTGTATGACTAGTTCTGGAAAGACACTAGCGTATACCGTGCCGGCTTTGAAGCATGTCAAAAGCTTGTCTTATATTCCACCGAACAATAAACCATTGATTCTCGTGGTTGCACCAACACGAGAACTAGCAATACAAATACAAGAACAATGTAAAGAATTTGATCCAGTGTGTGGTATTAAAAGTGTTTGTATTTATGGAGGAGTATCTAAGGTGGATCAATATAAAGCGCTACGTAAAAGTTTTCATATTGTGGTGGCTACCCCTGGTCGCTTACTTGATCTTATTAATGAAGGCATTTGTGATATTAGTAATGTGTCTTATCTTGTATTAGACGAAGGTAAATTTTTAACAAATTACTTATTTATATGCTGATTTTTTGACCTTTTTGCTTTTTATTTGTATCTAGCGGATCGTATGCTTGACAAAGGGTTTGAAAATGATATTCGACAGATTGTTGCCAAAACCAATAAAAATCGTCAAACTGCCATGTTTTCTGCAACATGGCCTGAATCAGTGCGTAAATTGGCTAATGATTTCTTGAACAATCCAATGAAAGTTGTAATTGGTTCTCCTGACTTATCTGCAAATAATAATGTTACTCAGATAGTTGAAGTAATTGATAATCCTATGGACAAAGATCGTTGTTTATTAAATCTTCTTAAACAATATCATACCAAAAAAAATAGAATTTTGGTATTTGTTCTTTTCAAGAAAGAAGCTCCACGTGTTGAAAACTTGTTAGCAAATCATGGCTATGAAGTTCAATCAATTCATGGAGATAAAAGTCAATTCCAGCGCATGGAAGTGTTAAAGGCTTTCAAGGATGGATTTTATCCTCTTTTGATAGCTACTGATGTTGCTGCTAGAGGTATAGATATTCCTAATGTAGAGTATGTGATTAATTATACTTTTCCATTAACTATAGAAGATTATGTTCATCGTATTGGTAGAACTGGGCGTGCTGGTAACAAGGTAAAGGAATAAGATTATTTAATTTTCATGATTTTAATGTTATTTTGCATAACTAAAGAAAATATAAAATATTTTACAGGGTATTTCTCATACTCTTTTTACTTCACATGATAAAGCACATTCTGGAGAACTTATTAATGTTCTTCGTCAGTCTAATCAAAAAATACCGGAATCTTTATTAAAGTTTGGTGGCGGTGTTAAGAAGAAGGAACATAAGGCATATGGCTCTTTCTTCAAAGAAGTTGATCTTAGTTTAAAACCTACAAAAATTAAATTTGAAGATTAGGATTCTTTATGATAGAGTAATTATTACAAATAACTTATTTACTAATAAAATTTGAAATATATTATCTTAAAAATGTTTACTTTGTTAATTACAATTATATAAAATAAATTGATGTAGTAATACTCTATTTTATTAATTATTTAATATTACAGTTAGTGAAAGTAATTAACAAATCACTAAAAAAACTAATTTACAATAGACATTCCTAAATATTAGAAGAAGCAAGGTTAATATAGGTAAACTTTAAATACTTTAAATAGTAATATATTAACAATTACTATTGTAGAAACTGTAATTTTACTTTTTAATCTTAAAAATCTTCTGATTAGAAAATTTAGTGATATGATAGATCCGATAATTAAAATGTAGACTGATTCAAATTTATTACTATAATACTTTTGGGTAAAATATAAAATATCTAACAAATGTTTATAATAGGGGAATTTTTTAGGTAAAAATCAAATATGTGGAAATTTATAATTATGCAAAATATTTAAACGTTATCTACAACTAGCGTCACATTTACAAATAAATCCACTAATCTGATTTTTTTTTTTTTTTTTTGTTGACTTAAAACGAAAATTTACAGATTTATAAAAATATAACAAAGAAAGAAACTAAATTATTTGCATAAAAGTAAATATCACAAATCTTTTGTGCATATATAAATTTTTCTACACAAAAGATTCACCCTGCACCGTTTTTTAAAAAATTTCACCTACTTTTCGGTGTATTATACCGAGACGAGCAGATTATTAGCGACCGCGGGGAGCTTTACCATTGTTACGGCGCACTCGGCGTTCTTCTGTGTATACGGTTTCACTACCGACATCAACTGTGTGCGCTTCAAGCGCGCGTCGATACGATTCGGCGTTGTTATATTCGACGAACGCACAAGACTATCAAAAAAAAAAAAATTATTATTAACATTTTTAATTTCATTTATTATAGTAATAAAAAAAAATAGTATTAATATAAGTCTTACCTTGGTATGCACAACGTCAAGATGTTTAACATGGCCAAAGGTTGAGAAGGCTGCCTTGAGCAATTCATAAGTCATTGAGGAAGTGACTCCTTTTACGTATATTGAGAGGCTTGTGTCTATTCATAAAAAATAATTAGAAATAAACTCGGACAAGAAATGAAGTATGCTGTTATGTTATAAAAAGTCTCACCACTATTACGACGATTATTGTTTTTTTGCCCTTCCGAACGCCGATCACGGTTGTCTCGTATCTGTTGGGATTGAGCCTGTGAGATTGGCTTTGGAACAGAAGCAACTACTCCTTTTGTTTCAGACAATGCATTACTACTCCATTTTTCTTGTTCATTAGCAGCCAAACTTGCCCAAGTTTTTTTTGTAGGTAATTGTGCTTGTGGTGTATTGCTGTAAGATAATTTTCCGTCGCGTATTTCAGGACCATTTGTGCCAGTTGTAATGTCATCTTTCGGAACATTTTGCATACTTTTCTTTTTGTCAGCCTGTGTTGTAATATTTATCTGTTTAGTATATTAATCGGGTATCCTTTATTATTTACAATAGACGATTGAGGAAAATGAGAATAAACGCTTACAATAGAAGGTGATTCTGGTCGAGATATTGATTTTGTTCCTTGACCATTTGAGTGAGATCCTATCAAAATATTTGCTGTTTGTCCATTATCCTCAAATGATAATTTTTGTCTGCTCGATGATAAGTGTATATCGTTATCTGTTGGAGGCTGATCATTTGTCTGCGCTCGTGATGCATTAAATGTTTGCGATTGGATAATAGTGTTAGGAACTGAATTTGTGCTCGTCGAAACTTGAAAATTAGAATTTGTTGCCAATGTCGGAGGTTGGTTATTTATATGTGGTTGTGGTGTTGTGTTAGCTGCTTGAGCAGGTATCTGCTTGGGAATATTTGCAGGCTGTTTCTGCATAACTGGTGATGACGTAAGAGATGCGATATTACGTTGTGTCGATAGAGCTTGACCAGCCCCTTGTGACATCTCAACTTGCGGCGGTTGTTCAGAAACTTGCTTTGAATTAATCACGGGTTGTCCAGGTTGTCCATTCTTATCTACTTCAATTGAAGGCGATGTTGATATGACAGAAGAAGCTACAACATTAAATTCTGTCGACGTCAAAGCTTGCCTATTATTTCCCTGTAATGATTGCGATGCCTTTAACAGTGATTGCTTTTCGATATTCTCTGAAATAGTAATTGGTTCTTTCTTAATAACATTAGCAGGTGATTGTTGTATATTGGCTGCGACAACAGGCGATGATTGAGGTCTGTTTGAAAAAGTTTGAATTGATTGCATGGAAGGAGATTGACCTCCTTCCTGAGACGCGCTACCTACTAAAGTTGTAGCAGGCTCTTGCTTGTTCACATCAACTGCTCTTTCATTATAGTTCGGCATGGTAGGTAATGGAGGCCCGTTTTGAACTGAATATTGCATATTTGTATGAAGTATGACAGATGCCGAGTCAATCGGTGATCGGGTATGGACCCTATCATTATCAACAAAATGATCGACAACTTCACCATTAGCAGAAACTGTCTGTAAAGGAGCTTCGTTTTCTTTTGAAGATGGGACCGCTATATGTGTGTCCATGGTTCTTGAAGCAACCTGAGCGGATTCCGTATTTTGAGCTGAACTAGATGAGATTGCTGATTCGACTCGAGCGTTTATTGGTTCTTCAACTAATGTTCCAGTGGGCGAGGCAGATGCTCCAGCTTCCTCTTCCCCGTTGTATATTTCAATATCGTCATCTGACAGGAATCGGATGATATCATTCAACACATAATAGCCATTTGTCACGTTTGGTTGTACGTCGAGAAAAAAAGTTTGAGCAAATCTTCTCGCAACTTCGTTACGATTGCTTATTTCGCCCAATACTTGAATTAATATTCCACCGTTAATAGATGCTTGACTATCAACGTTAGTGATCAGAACTCGACAGTTTTCCAAGTTTAAGCCTTGAAATTTTTCTTTAATTTCCTATTAAATTTTCAAAGAAGAAATTAAAAATATGCATTAGTACAAACACAATAAAGCCATTCTGAACAAAAATAATAAACCATAAATAAAAAGAAAAAATTATAAATAAACCGATCTCATTTATGAAGATCTAGTAAAGTTTGTATGAAAGTATAAATATAAACAATACTCACTTTCTCTCCCTGAGAAGGAGTCACGGTCTCACCTTCCGTACCGTGGATGAGGGTTGATTTTTGCCCGTAAAAGCAGTGAAGGCGACTCGGGTCTTTGTTCAGAAAAGTATAGTATTCGTGAACGAAACACCAGCCCACCTCCGAGGCAGGCATTTTTTGCCCAGTAGGTAAGCCATTACTGCCAGCTTGTGTAGCTGGTGTGTTCGTTGTAGTATTATTGGTATTTGAGATTGTTGTAGACGTCGAAGCGGCCATACTTTGCTGTGAAGGTTGAGTTACTATTAAGAAAACTTTTAGAATTAAACGGGCTCTTGAAGACGGGAAAAACCACAAGAAAAAAAGAGGTCGATTTGTGGCTTTTTTATATTGAAGTTTGGGGATAAACTCTAGCTCCCTCAAAATATTGATTCTGATTGGTTAAAGAGTGTTAAATTTCAGATCATATATAAACCGACAAAGATTTTTGAATTTCGAAACAATGACAATTTTCCAATTTTGGAGTTTACAAATGTGAACAATAGCACCTTAAAAAAGAATAATCAATTACTAGTAAATGCCAAATTACCTTTAATATTTAGGAGCAAAACTGAAAAAATTAGATAAATACACTTCTGATTGGCCAGTTTTTATTTAAATATATAGCAAGATATAAAATAAATTATTAAGTAAAATATTAGGTAATTCGGTATCTAATATATAACTTATAACTGATCTATTGATCTATACTAAAATTAATACTTTTTACTTTTTATGATCAGATTTAAAATAGCTATAATCTAAAAAAAAATCAGCCAAATAAACTATTAGATAACAAAAAACTAATTTTTAAATTCTTAAATTCAATTAAATTTGCTCTTTTTTTATTAGTAAAGTTAAATTATAACTTGTTTTAAATATATAATATAATCTAATATATTAAAAAATTAGAAAAAAAAGTTTTTTGAATTATTTAATATTTAATAATTGAAAAATAATGCATTATAATAGTATTAATTCATTGAATAAATAAATTATTTTATTATTTAATCTAATAAAATTATGTAGATTTTTATAAACTGATATTTTATTAAGTATAGTATTAATATAAGTAATAATATATAACAGATAATTGATATAATAAAATGAAATAAAAAAATATGATGTAAATGAATATTTTATAAAAAAAGTTTAAATAAAGTTTATAAAGTAAATTAAAAATAGTATAAAAATGAAATTTATAGAAAATCAAATAAAATTTATTTATGATATTATTAATTAGGCAGTTTCTAATTATACACATAATGTACGAACACAGGTCATATAAATCTTATTTTACGTGATATTAAATGTATAAACTAATTTTTTTTAATATCTTTATTGTAATACCAATAAAATAATATACACACATTTATAATACTATAAATGCATTGACAATAAATGTATAATAAATGCATCTAAATAACATTTGAATACAATCTTTCCCCTTTACAATCATCTCATATATAGTCATACCCTTCCTTTAGTCATATTTTGTATTAGTACCAGTGTTTATTTTTCAACTGTATGGTATATGCGCAGCGCATATGATCAGAATTTTGCATATACCTTTTTTAGAAAGGATGTGTGGCATGTGCACAAAAAATTTTAAAATATACTTATGTGATTGAATATATATGTATTACAGTATCTAGTATTATAATAGTATAACTATACCATTTTACTGCACAGTAAGACTCAATAAATTGTACGCCATCTGCACAATAACTTTTTATCAAAAAATTAACATTGATTAGTACCAATTTTTGATATATAAAAACATTTTCTTTACAATCACGCATATAATAAAAATATAATCACATCAATTATTAGTCCCAATATTATAATAAATATAATAAATTTGCCTTTTATATAATTACATAAAAATTTTCTTCTTATATAATCACAGTCAAGCATGTGATTTGACATTATTTCATGTGATTTGATTATCTATAAAATATACGCGCAGTATGTGTAATACACTGTACACATAATTTATGCAGTTTGTGCAGTTTTTTACTTATTATGTCACTTATCCATTAAAAAAACCAAAAAGTACTCAAACTGCTATTAGTATTGAAGCCAAAAAAGAAATTTGTGAATATATAGTAGCAAATCCAAATGTAAATCAAAATGACATTGCCACATTTTTTAATACAAAATATCAAAATTTTAGTATTAATAGAACAACTATTAATAAAATATGAAAAGAGCGTGAAAAGTGGCTATCGGTTTTATCTACTTCACAAACTCCATATATCTTTTACCATTATTCTGTTCAATTTCCAGAACTTGATAAAGTTATGCAAATTTGAACTTTAAAAGCAACAGCTGTTAGATTACCTTTAACTGATATAATATTATAGTAAAAAGGAAAAGAATTTGCTAAAATGTTAAATATAGAAGATCAGTTAAAGTGTATTAATGGTTAAATTTATAGGTTTAAAATGTGAAATGGTCTTCAAAAAGTCAATTTTTCAGGAAAAACTAATAGTGTATTACTTGAAACTCTTCCAGAAGAACGTTTATGTTTACATACTCTTTTGGCTAAACATAATAAGAAAGATATTTACAATACAGATAAAACAGGACTATTTTTTCAGATAGAACCAAATTATACTCTTGATTCAGGTAAAATTTCTGGACAAAAACAGGTGGAAATTTGTATTAATTTGTTTTGTTTTTACACTTTATTTATTTTTATTATTAAATTTAAATTTAAAATATTTATAATTATAATTTAGGATAAAAGCCACCTTTCAGTTCTTTTATATAACAATTCTACAGGTTTTCACAAATTTTCACCACTTGTAATAATTGAAAAAGCAAATAATTTTCACCGCTTTAAAAATATTAATAAGGCATCTCTTCCTGTAACTTATTGTGCTAATTCCAAAATATAGATGAAATCAGATATTTTTGTTGAATGGCTTCACTGTCTTAATAACTGGTTTCGTGTAATGAGTCAAAAAATTTTACTCCTAATTGATAATGCAGAATCTCACTTTAATCCAAAAACATTTGATAAAAACAGTTCTAATTTAAGTGAGGAACTGAGCATAATGAAGAAAATGTTGCAGAGTCTTTCCATTCAGCTCAAAGTAAAACAAAATCTAAAAAAAAAGTGACAAAAAAAAAGTCTAATATTAAACTCACTAATATTAAACTTATTTATCTTCCTCTAAACATAACTGCTCATCTTTAGTAAATGGATACCAGAATTATCTACAGCTTTAAATTCAAGTATAAGCAAGAATTTTGTAAGCATCTAATTCAACAATTTGATAATGGAATGGATTGAAAAAGATAAATTTAATTATTTATGAAACTTATTTAATCATTAATTAATTTTTAATAATATCAATTTTTATTAGAAATAAATTAAATATTAAGGAAGCCATTAACTATATAGATATAGCTAAAGCGTGAAAAAACATTACTTCAATAACCATCCAAAATTGTTAGAAAAAGACAGTTATACTTCTGGCTTCTGATTTTTTTGTGGATGATAGTAATATGCAAGATTTTGAAATAGATGAATCAGATAAATTAGATAGAATTAATATTGATTGTTTGCCAGAAGTTGATGAATTATACATAAAACTAAAATTGGTTAATTTTAACCTCTGAAATGGTTAAAATGGTTAAAATGATTTTGACTTGAGTCCCTTCAAAAGTCAAAATGGTCAAAATTACGTCATAGTCATATGATTTTATAGTAAATAATAATATTAAAATTCAAAGTTAATGAACTTCACATCCAGTAATTTGATTTTTATGATATTTATACAGTTGAATTCAGCTTATCAAAAGGATTCCAATGATATGTATTTCGTATCTGTAGTATTAATATTGATGGAGTTATTCATGTTTAAAATTTTATATTAAATTATAATTATAAAAATCATATAACTATGATGTAATTTTAACCATTTTGAGTTTAATTTCAACTTTTAACTTTCCTAAGTCAAAATATTTATACTTTTGGACTTTAATTTCAACTTTATATATAAATGTGAATACTAAATTCCCAAAGATAAATTTCAAATTTTTAAAACTTTAATAAAAAACATTAATTTTTAATTCGTGATCTGTATAACAAGTAGTGAAAATCACTATTCAAATTCAGAGAAAATAAAAAAATGTGTTTTTTGCGATTATTTTGTGACCCAGTAATCCAATTTCGTTGAACAATTTTTTATCGTGTAGCTCTTCACGCCCTCTGCAAAATAAAAAAAAATCATTAAAATTGGACTAATAAATCGTGAGATAATTACAAAACTGATTTTTTCAAAGAATATCATAAGGAATCTAGCAGGACCCCGAATAATACTGATATAACTCACAAACGGGTTTGCGTAGAGTTTATATGAAATTACTTTTTAAACCATAAATTGAGTTTGCGTAAATCAGTCAATTTTAGGATAACTCACATATCACGTTTGCGTAAAGTTTATAAATATACACAGGCAATCTCGATAAATCGGATCCTTAATAAACCGGATTTGGCACTATTTCAGATTTTTCTTCTGGAACCAAATCATCTATATTAAAACAGTCTTGATATATCAGACTTTATTAGTAAAATCTTGATATTTTGTAAATCGGATTTTATTCTAGATCAACTATAGTTAAAAAATCTTGATATGACGTATTAATTTTTTTGGAGTCCAAAATAATTATGTCAATTATTTATTAATTAGGCAAACAATTTTTCTCACTGTTTTTTTTTCAAAATATACTTTAGCATGAGAGAAAACAAAGATACGAATAATAAAAAAAAGAAATCTTTAATATTAGCTCAAAAGAAAGAACTCTGCGAAAAACAAAGAGATCAAAAACTTAATGGTGTTCAATTAGCAGCACAATATGGAATTTCCACTAACACAGTTTCCGATATTTTAAAAAGATCAGAACATTGGCTTTCCATTGATGCCACTTTACCAAATGCAAATAATTTTTGTGAAAAATCTAGTGTTTATCTACAACTAGAAGAAGTAATGAGCATTTGGGTTGATCAACAAATTTCAAGAAATTTAACTATAAATGGGCCTATTATCCAACAAAAAGCAGTAGAGTATGCTAACTTACTTGATATCACCAACTTTTCAGCATCTGCAGGATGGTTAAGCAACTTTAAACAGAGAAATAATTTGCATACATATGAAAAAAAAAGGAGAAGCTGACAGTGCTCCTATTGATGAACTTTTACAAATGAGAGCTGAATTACGAGAAATTCTTCAAGCATATGAACTAAAAGATATCTGGAACTGTGATGAAACTGCTCTTTTTTGGCGTTTAG